TAAAAAAATATATATATGGAATGCGAAGTTATTGTGGTAGAAAGCATCACCATTTCCATCCCAGGCTACAAAGATCACTGTCTTCTGGGGTTGTGACATCATATATTTTACTAGACAGGTACCAATGCTTCACAAGAACCTGCTGCCTCCATCTTCATGCCCAAAGAGTAAACCAAGCAGAAATTAAGCTCAGTAATGTAGGGAACCACCAATGGCAGCTACATAAATGTAATGGGATCCTGTGGCTATGGAGACAGCTCCATTTGTGGATAGGAAGAAGCTAGGCTGAAGTTAGAGGTAGCAAGTTCCTCTGAAACATTGGTTATCTCTATACCAGGGCTATATGGCATCACATACCAGAAGAGAGTAACCTTCACAGACACAAGAAACTCAATTAGCACATTCAGGATTAACTGAATGAAAACTGTCAGCCAGGCTATAAAATGGGAGAATATATAATGACTATGTAACAAATGTGCATAAGAAATTGAAAGAAAAACACTCTCTTCTGATATCACAGCAACAAAAATGGCACAATATAATCTTCTTTGAAGTTTCATAACTTGGAACTGTCGGTCAGGTAGAACTGCAATGCTCTCCATGCCTTTTCCACTTGTTTCTGAGTGTATGTAGTGCTCCAGTACGTGGACACCACAACATGAGCTTTTGCTACTAATTCTGTGTTGCTGGGCAGCGTGGCTATTCGTGCTCGTGCGTCACTTTCAGTCAAATGATTGCGTTCTTGGAGTCTTTTCACAGCCTAAGAAAAGATACAGACATATAACTAAACAATTTGTGTAGCTCTTTGCCTAAGCTTTCAACTTACCTAAAAAAACAGGCCGCGCCATAGCTCAAGTGGTTAGTCACTGGCTTCCCACCGCGGCAGCTGGGGTTTGATCCCGGGTTTGGACAAGTGGGATTTGTGGTGGACGAAGTGGCGCTGGGGCAGGTTTTCTCCGAGTACTTTGGTTTCCCTTGCCAATCGTCATTCCACCAATTGCTCCACAATCATCCTCACCTATCATCTGGGGCTGGTACAATAGGCCAGAAGTGGCCGCAGTGCAAGGGACACCCCACTAGCAATAAAAAAAATACCTAAAAAACATAGGGGGAAAAAAATACCTAAAAAAACATAGGGAAAAATAATAAATAATGTAAACCATCAGTTCTGATAATTTTATTAGTGCCTCTAAGGAAATGAACGCATTTTCCTCCTCCTCTAAATATTACACATCACAGTTCTCTTGCAAATGAATACCAATATATCAACCATGCAATGTAATGCAGTTTGGTACTGATGAAGTCTGAACAAGGAGCAAATAGGAGACAGTGCAGCTTGGAGAGCATATGCCCCTCTCCTCTCCCTCTCTCAAAGCTTCGACAATCCTTAGCCTACTTTCTGATTCTTGTTCCTTCCCAGAAAGGCAGAGAATCACGTGTTCACGTTATGACCTGAATATTCCCGAAGATAACCAGCATAAAACTGTGGTTGTGAAGTCTACTTATTTATCTAATATGACTTTTCCACATCCTACAGTGTTGGATTTTATGGAAATAATAGATGAGTAATGAAAATGAAAAAAGAGCTTGTACTGATGCCTGAAAACTTTGAGAGTTCCATACTGGGGGAGTTTTGTTGTATATATGGCTGATATGTTCTTTTTTTATTTGTTTTATATTATAAATGCCTTGACTTGTTCCTGTGGGAATGGAATGTTTGTTTTTTGATCTGTGACTCATTCTATATCCAATGGTTGTTTCCCAGCCTGTATCTGGATCTATTTTTGAATTTGAAATAAATTGAATTGAATTGAAGTCTCATTGTAAGCTTAGAAGCAGTGTATCAGTTGTGCACAGAGAAACAGGTGTGAAACAGTGTGTACAGTGAGATAAGAAGTTAAATCGGTGCAGTCCAAGACACAAGAAAAACACAGTGCATTGGTGTACAGTGAAACAAACATGAACAAGACTTGTGACTATTAACAGTCAAGACATTAAATGTTCCAACACTCAACAAGCATTGCAACATATAGCCATGTTTCAAAGGACCCTGCTGCGACCATTTTCACAATAAAACAGCAATCTACACATAAAAAAAAGTTTAGCTCTATCCAGAAGGGAGAACAATGGGAGTGGCCAAGGCACACCAAAGGGAACCTGTGCCCTGAAAAAGGCTGCCCTTGTAGACAGCAAAAGGAGCGCTCTTAGCTCCAGTACCAGTCCTCCCTTCCCTTCATCACAAACAGTTTTCTTCCCTGCAGCTTACTCTTCCATGTTGAAGATAATGCCAGCAGGTTCCCCCAAAAATTTCATGCTTATCTACAAAACTATATGTCATCACACCCTGTAAGACTGTACTCTGCATGGTAACCACTTTAAACACATCAAATCTTACACACAGATAGGAACTTTGGAGATGAGTAACACCTTCTGGGATATGACGCCAAGTAGTCTGGTAGATTTTAACAAATGCATGGTGCTTGCTGGTTGCTCACTCAGCTTACTATTCAATTCTGAAGATGGAGGCTGTACAGTCTTCTGAAGTGTCAGTAAATTCTAAATCTCACAAAATAACTAGAGATAAAATCTTCAATGCAAGAAATCCCTGATGATGGAAGCAGAAAACTTTATGAAATGTCTGTCTTGGAATTAAATTTTGGTGGCTGGTCAACAAAGAGGCTTTTATTGTTTTCAATCACCATGAAAGCTTGAAGTCTTGCATGAAGTAAATACCAGTGTAATTCTAACGTTTGTTTTCCATACGTCAGTTAACTTCAAAAGCCTGCTCTGTTCCATCTCATGCCACTGATTACTGCTTCAAAGTTCTTCCTTTATTTAACAATGCTTCCTCGACTACATAGTTTATACAGTGTTATGGCAGAAGCTCATTTTGAATGATGAACTGGAAAGTATTTTTCAAGACAATTATCCTTTATCACTTGGAGAAAACTTCAGAAAACCATGAAAAACCTACCTCAATCACGACAGGCTAACCATTCAATGGTAAAATCTGTTCTATCCACTTAAAAATACAAGAAAATGAACACATGAGGTATGAGCCAGATAGTTTAGTCAATGTAGTGACAAGTCTATGCTGAGAAATGAGGAATCCAGGTTGTTTCCAGCAGACATCTCCAGTGCATTTTGCTTAATGAAGTACAGGGATAGTTGTAACATTCACACATAAGAGGCATACCCAACAGGTGGGAAATATGTGGGTGACACCAGTACATTACGTCACAATTTTTTTCTTTGCTTCAACCTGCCCAATTACCTCTTCAGGTGGAATGATGCACGCCCAGACCTCGTGGACATGTTGGTCCCAGCCAGCTTGAAGCAAGATAGCTGCTTCCATCACAACAATCTGATAACCTGCCTCAAAAAGGACCTGGATCTTCTCCTTTGCACGATTCAGTAATACCGGCCAAACCATAGCATTTAATTTTTCTAACTGCTCCTACAAGGAAACAGGTGTAGAGATTAGAATATTAACAATGAACACATAGAAATGATTTCCATTAAGTTTTAATTTATATTACTGTCTTCTGAGACATGATGCCAAGTAGGCTGGTAGACAGGTACCAGCAGCTCAAAGGAACATGTGCCGCCTTCTTCTCGGTACAACAGTAAGCCAGGCAGGAAATACTGGTGAGTGACATAGGAACAGGAGGACAGGAACTAGAATTAAGAGCAAACCACTGGCTGTGGTGTAAAAATAAATTATGTGACCCTAAAAAGGGCTGCCCATTGGACATCACAACCCATAAGACAGCAATCTACAGTCACCGCCAAAAAGTCTCAAATTTCAGTGAAAAAATAAAGGTAATTTTGTTCCATTCCAAACGGTAATGGCTATTAGACACATACACACACACATTCTGACACATTTATAGATGATAACAAGATTTAATACCAAGTATGTCTGCAGTAAACCAATTCCGGTACCTTACTGTTGAACACAACTGTTCCTAGAGCCTTCCTGTTGATCTCTCCATCATCACCCAATATTTCCTTTCCAAAATGCTGCACAACTGCATCATAACAAGGCTGCCCCCTCATATACACACTGTGAGCAAGTGTATCACAATTCAGCAATCCTGCCCCAAGGTTTTCCAACCGTTGTCCTACTGAGGACTTTCCACTTGCAATATTACCAGTCAAACCAATAATGTAAGGCTTCCTTGGCAGTAGAGTCCTTGCCTGCAAATAATAAAAACATGGCCTCACTTTTACTGGGGGTGTTTAAGAGCAAGTTGCTATGAACGCATGAATCCAAAGGAAAGGAAGCTAAGAGGAAGGACTACAATGCTTCATAATGAGCAGGGCCCAACTAATCCACTCGGGTGTGTCCCTCTGATGAGTGAAAAATCTTTGAATTTATGCACTGATTTTAATAGAAGGCATTCTAATCTGTCACAATATTTGATATTAAGCAAAACACCAACACCATCAAGTGTGACCAATTTAATTAATTACATAAAAACCTTTATATGTTTTGGTCTTAAGAGACCATCACCAGAATATGACGAAGAGGTGAGGAAGAGCCTTACAGTTATAAAGGTCAACCATCCACCAGTTCTACCCCCATGGAGTTAATTAATTACATTTACATTTACAGTAAAAATGAAAGTTATTCAGCACCTCAGCGTTAAAATATACCATAGTTAATGTTATTAAAAATGTTTCCAAAAGATTTTAAATTTAAAAATGTTTCTAAAAGATTTTAAGTATTTTAAAACATTTTTAATATATTAACTGCTGTACATTTTAACAATGAGGTGCTGAATAGCTTTCATTTTTTACTGTAGTGGTAAATGTAATTAACTCCTTGGGGGTAGAACTGGTGGGCCAACTGAACTTTATAACTGTAAAGGACTTTCTCATGTGTTCAGCACCTTCTGATGATGGTCTCTTAGACTGAATCATATAAAGGTTTTTATGCAATTGAATTAAATTGGTCACCCTTGATGGTGTTGCTATTTTGCTTTATGTATTTATATTAATATCCACTCTTACCATTCATTTAATGACACTGCCAGCATGTCCGACCACATAGCGTCAAAGTGTCAAACAGTAGAATTATCAGTAAATTAGGGATTGGAAGGGATGTGGAAGGGTACAATCATGGTCTCAATTATGGACTATCCCAGCAACTACCTACAGGGAACAAGTCAGTATTCCAGCTGAGATTTAAACTGGACACTGCCAGCATGTCCTACCACATAACGTCGAAGTGTCAAACAGTAGAATTATCAGTGAATTGGGGATTGGAAGGGATGTGGAAGGGTACAATCATGGTCTCATTTGTGGACTATCTCAGCAACTACCTACAGGGAACAAGTCAGTATTCCAGCTGAGATTTAAACTGGACACTGCCCAGATAAAAGTCAGAACACTACTACCTCTGGTACTCTGAGCCTTGTCCCCAGCAATCTCATCCTACGATTACTTGAGCTTATCTTCTCTTCCTCTTCCTCATCTGTGTGTTCTGGAATTGCCTCTAGTAAATTCACTGTGTGGATGTCTAAAGCTGGAAGGTTGTTTTCATGGCGAAGTTCATTCACTTTCAGTCCTCCTTTGTATGTTTCTGTGCTCACCACTATCAGCTGAATGAACATAAGATACAAAGTTTTAGGCCCACAGCATACACTTAATACTGTGACCTAACCTAACATATGATGTGCACTTAAGCACGCCTTATGTCATTTGCCTGCTCTTAAGAAACAATGTATAAGATGCCTAGATAATAGGAGATTGAAGACTTGTCATCATTAATGCATAAAAGACACAAATTATGCTCGAATAGGAAAGAGGCAGGAAGGAGGCTGTGAGGAGGAGGAAACATTGTGTAACTATGTAGAATTATGAGATCTATACTGCCACGAGCATCTGCAGCTTGATTAGTCTCTGCCTGGAAATGTTGAGATGCTTCCACTATTAAAGGGGCTAGGATGACACTGAGTCCTCTTGGTACTGCAGCCACTGTTTGACCTATTATACAAGCACCAAATGATAGATGATGAGGATTGGGGAGCAATAAGTGTAATGCAAATTGGCAGGGGAAACCAAAGTACTGAGAGAAAACGTGCCCCAGTGCCACTTTTTCCACCACAAACCCCACAACACCTGACCCTAGCTCGAACCCAGGCCGCCATGGTGGGAAGCCAGTGACTAACTGTCTGAGCCATGGCACAGCCCAAGGTGCTAGGATACTTTTTAAACTAGGCTTTTTGGAAAAATATGGTGAGAGCTGCAAGTCACAAAAAATTAATTTTATGGGCTCATCACCAGCCATTAGTAGACATGCCACTGACCTGCATGTCTGGATCTTCTTTCGTAGGTCCAAATGGGTCATAAATTGGTACAATGTCGTATTGCAAGCCAGGATCTACATCTTGAAGAAAATCTTCTACTGAACACATTCGAACAGCACAAGGTTCAATCATCTCCCACAACAATTTAGCTACAAACAGAGACATTTCCAGTAAATTTTATAACATATGATTACATTCACTTAACTTTTTCTTTGTTCAACTTGACACTTTGTTCCAGCAGTAAATATTTACTCTAAGGATGTCCTATTTATATTCACAATTGCCAACAGTAAATGGAATTAATACATGTGAATACCACTGTGCAACCAGCAACATCCAAGGCACAAGTGATTCACACTATATTCTTGAAGTAGGAGAGGAGATGAGTGGTCCATGCAAGTGCAATGTATATCAGAATTAAACACATATTGGTAGGATAAAAAAATGCAAAATGAGATTCATAACTGATGGCTTTCTTACTTACTTACTTACTTACTCATGGAGCTGAGCCCTTCTGGAGTAGCCACCAATTCTGCAACTACTCAAGAATTTCCCACCATTTTATAGAACCCAAAGGTTCATTACCATGTTCACAAGAGCCCTCCGCTGGTCCCTGTCCTGAGCCCTGAGCCAGATCAATCCAATCCATACCATCCCATCCTATCTCTCTATGATCCATTTTAATATTGTTCACCCACCTATGCCTTGGTCTTCCCAGTGGTCTCTTCTGGCTTCCCCACAATATCCTATATGCATTCCTTTTCTATCTGATTATGAAATATAATGTACTTTTATTTCTGTATATTAGGAGGTTCTTCCACTTCAATGTTTAATGTTCACACCTGTACCAGCACCAAGATCGGGTATACAAGCCCAGCACAGCACAAACCATCTTGGTGCTGGTACAAGTGTCTGGAGGTAGGGACTAGCTCTATTGATTGGGCCCTACTGAATAGGTTTTCCTGAAGACCTTCAATGTTTAATGTTCACACCTGTACCAGCACCAAGATCGGGTATACAAGCCCAGCACAGCACAAACCATCTTGGTGCTGGTACAAGTGTCTGGAGGTAGGGACTAGCTCTATTGATTGGGCCCTACTGAATAGGTTTTCCTGAAGACCTTCAATGTTTAATGTTCACACCTGTACCAGCACCAAGATCGGGTATACAAGCCCAGCACAGCACAAACCATCTTGGTGCTGGTACAAGTGTCTGGAGGTAGGGACTAGCTCTATTGATTGGGCCCTACTGAATAGGTTTTCCTGAAGACAGTGACAGAATCCAGTCTCTGAAACGTTGTGTTTTGTTAATATTAACAGGAGAGTGTTTTTGGATAAAGGCAGGATAATGGATAATGTCCAGAAACATAATACTTGTACTAATGTACCATGTCACAAACTTTTAAATCTTATTCACAATATTATATTTAAGCATCCTGTTGCACTCTACACGATAAATGACACAAATTCCATCCCAAGTGCAAACAATATATATTATATGTCTTTGATCTTGTTCTTTCTACACTACATGTTTCGGCCTCTATCGGCCATCATCAGGTGTATATTCTTAACGTTGCTGCCACACTGACCCCAGTCTAAAATTTAACATTTAAAAACACAATGTCATATTCTTCGTATTATCAATATCTACATCGTTGATATATGTCTGGTATGTAGAGTATGTTGCACACGTCAAATTTGATATTCTTGTAGTAGCACTTTAAAAATCTTTAGTTATGATGTTTTTCAAAACTTTTTAAAATTTTCTCTAAATTTTNAAATTTAAAATTTAGAGAAAATTTTAAAAAGTTTTGAAAAACATCATAACTAAAGATTTTTAAAGTGCTACTACAAGAATATCAAATTTGACGTGTGCAACATACTCTACATACCAGACATATATCAACGATGTAGATATTGATAATACGAAGAATATGACATTGTGTTTTTAAATGTTAAATTTTAGACTGGGGTCAGTGTGGCAGCAACGTTAAGAATATACACCTGATGATGGCCGATAGAGGCCGAAACATGTAGTGTAGAAAGAACAAGATCAAAGACATATAATATATATTGTTTGCACTTGGGACGGAATTTGTGTCATTTATTCACAATGTCTGTGTTTGAATATTAGATTCCTGAATATAACACTGGGAGTTGAAATAAGTCTAATCAATAAATGCTGCATGTCATTTTTTTTCTTTTATTTTTGTGGGCTATTTTACAATGCTTTCACCAGCTGGGTCATATATTATTGAATGGTACAGGAATGACAAACTGGAAAGGACCTAGAAGGAAGCAGCCAAGGCCTAATTAAGGCACTATCCTACATTCTGCCTCGTTGGACTGAAGAAAACCATTAAAATCCTGTCAGGACAGCCAGTGTACAGCTGAGATCTGAACTGAGCACCTTTTGACACAAAGCTAAACCATTACTGCTACTCCAACCTCCTCAGTGAATATGTTGTCACTTTAGCACATATATAAAAATTATGAATAACAAAATAAAAATGTGAATTAAAACATTCAAATAATAATATGTGACACTTCTGGGTTTCTTCTGTTAGGTGTACAATTCTGCATACATGTAAACCAATATCCTACTGGTCATTGCAAGACATGAAAGAGGTCAAAATTTATTACAAGCTACTGCTACAAATAAATATTTTAAACAGGTCATCTAATATTCTCATGCAGTGAATATGAAGGTTATTGCCTTCTGTGGTGATGCCATGTAGTCTCTTCTACCCTGAAGATGGAGGCACCATATTCATGATTAACACAGTGTAAACATGCTTAAATTGTATTTACAAACCCCAGTAACAGTTGTGTGTCTTACACTTCAGCATTGAAGTATCAGTAATTCCCACAGTAAGCTTTCTTGTACAATGCAGAACCGCTTCACTCAACAGAATCTTATGTCCAGCATGCAGTCGGTCAAATGTCCCTCCAAGAACCACATTCTTGTGCATTTTACAGTCTTTATTGGTTAACATTCTGTCAATGCTCAGTGATTCAGCCATTCTGCAAACTACACTGCTCCCATGAGAAGGGTGCAAGATATCTAGATTATCAGATACTGAATCTTCTGTACCATTCAGTGTAACAATCTGACATTTCTGAGTGGCATTTAAAAGACATGAGTTTAAAAAATAATCTACTTCATCTTTATTAAAAATTCTATCAAAAATTACAACTTCTATTTGCTTTCTTGTGTGGATTTTTGAAAGAAATGGATCTTTGAGTCCTGCTAATAAAACACGGATATCCAGATTTTGACAAATTGCAGTCGCTTGAGAATAAATACCAATCACAGCAGAGCCATGATGGGGCCCATTCAGAGCATTTTCACCACTAGGGGTTGAATTTATTAAACGTTGTCTTCCAGGGTATAATTGAACATACAAGGTTTTATTAACATGCTGCTTAATTACGGGCAAAATTCTGGCAAGCTTCGTCGGCTTTGTTAATACCAACAGTCCAATTTTTGCCATCTTTAACCTCAACTTATACTATGCATCATATATTATAAAACAATTAGCGGTAACTCAAAGGACTTGTATTTGTAAATTCTTTATAAAGTTCACGCTATGTTTCACGTCACAGAACACAATCTTCACTTCAATCTAAAACACTAAGACGTAAAATACACTAATCCCCAACATCATATTCAAACTTTGATATTTATAAACGATCTCTGTATTCGACTGTCAAAAAATGAAGAACGCTTCTCATATTGCAAGCTACAGTTGTTATATCCGTTATATCACTGGCAGCCAGTGTCGTTTCAAAGTACTTCATCATGACATGACCATCATATCATATCATGACCAACATGACCCATCGTGACATGACAATTCCATCAACTATGCACGTGACTGCACGTGACAGATGAGCCACGGATCACGGTGATCACGGATCTGACTGTCAAACTACCTAACGGTTACTGAGTTGGGTAGTGTGGTATCGACGGTTGAGAGGTTAGGTGTCAATGTTCTGTTAAAATACATTTTAACTGTTTTTTTTAATAGTGCGAGTATGCCGACATGGAATCAGATTCAGTCACAATTACGAAATCCCAACAACCCAGTAGTATTTTTTGACATTAGCGTTGGAACGACCGTAAGTAATTCGTGTGTAAGGTTAAGTGTACACATGACGCTTCTGTCTATAGCTGTGGCTGTTTAGCCCTTTTTGGACGTTGGCCGCTCTTTCAGTTTCTTAATCTATACGCAGTGAGTAGGACTCCTTGGACGGGGGATTAGCCCGTCGCAAGGCCGCTACCTGCACACACAGGATAGCAGATACACGAACGCATTAAGATATCCATGTCTGGAGTAGGATTCGAACACATGATCCCAGTATTCAAGCCGGCGAAGTCAGTTCATGCCTTAGACCGCGCGGCCACTGTGATCGGCTCAAATTAAGCTTAAAATTACAAAATAAAGTGTGACACTTCAAATTACTCAGTTCTGTCTCATCAGGGACTTAGTATATTGTAGCATGAGAGCAATGTAATCTACATATCTTTCTCCTTAACTCGTAACTTTAAATTTTAACCATGACTATTAAAACTAACTTGTTGCTGAATACCGTTTTTCTTGTACTAGATCATTCTAATATTAAACCCTACAAGGGAAAAGCACAACAGGTTGCACTCACATAAACCTTGGAAAATAATGCGACTTTGCGAATGATTTAATGTCCATGTGGTTATTGCCAAACTGTTAAATTTCATTCATTTTATTGAATTATTAATACAGGTTTCGGCCTTACATGGCTTATGCTTTTGGACTGCAAGGTCTCTATAATAAGGAACCAACAATCAAACAGTTTAAGCAACAACACAGCAGTTCATCGTTTCACATTTATGCTTGAGGTTCCCCAAGACACAAAAAGAGAATGAACAATAATAAAACTTGCTTCCATTATTATTTAATAGGCTCGACTTCTGTAGAAAATCAAACATGATGATTTTGTGGAATATTTTCATCATTTTAAAAGTTGAATGACATAGGAACACAAGTACTTTTCTTTCCTACTGGAACATATTCTTGTATAGACATGGCCCAGTTGGGCATATGCAGAGTTCACATCCTGTCTATCTTAAAATTTCCATTACTGATTTTTTCTTCTTTTTCTAGGAAATTGGACGAATGATACTTGAGCTTTTTGCAGATGTTGTACCAAAGACATGTGAAAATTTTAGAGAATTTTGTACAGGGGAGTATCGACGAGATGGTGTGCCTCTTGGATATAAGGGAGCAATATTCCACCGTGTTATAAAAGACTTCATGATTCAGGGTGGAGATTTTGTAAATGTATGTACCAAAAAACAATACTATTCTTTAATTTGTACTTCTGGAATACATGACAATCTGTTATTAATTAGTTCCCAGTGAAACAAGTATATTCTTTCTGGAGCTGATGCAATTCAGTCTGGCTATGCTACAGGTCGGAGAACCGGGAAGTCTGGATTTAATTCCTGGCAAGTGCAGAGATTTTCTCTTCATTATGCAGTGTTCTATTACAAATTGAGCTGTTAGCAGGTTTGTAAAGTATAAGCCAAAAAGTGCATGGTATAAATGCAATGAACTGTTGTTACAAAAACAGATACATGTAAGAGATTTGATGTTTTAATAACAGTGACTATCAAAATTTCTGTCTTCTGATATATAAGTAGATACCATTGTTTCAGAGGAATGTGGCTGCTTCCACTTTCAAGATACCTTGAAATGTGGAGGCAATGGGTAATATCTATAAGATCACATGGAATCACATTCCAGAAGACAGTAACATTTTAACACATGTTTTGGGGCTGTTTTTTTAAGTGCAACTGGTCAGCCAAAACTCAGTTGTATTTATGCAAGTTTATTTTACTTACAGGACCATGTAATTTGTAATATCCATGTCTTTGTTACAGGGTGATGGTACAGGAGTGATGAGTGTGTATGGTGGAGGAACATTTGCAGATGAGAATTTCAACTTGAAGCATGATGCTCCTGGTTTATTATCTATGGTAAACAGTAGAAGTCACATAATGCTAATGAATGTAATTTACATTAGCATTTCATAAGTTATTCACACAATTTCTGAAATAAAATACGTAACTAAAAACAAAGTTGAATTACATGATGATTTAACTCTAGTACAGTACGTAAATGTCCGTTGATAACAACAGTTCTATACTTTTAATAAATGATGGACTCAAATTGTCAATAAAATCAGTTAATTTATTAAGATGTTATTTTCATGCTTGTTTTGGTTATTTACGACAATCATCAGGCATTTATAAATAACAACATGCAACCACGTTCATTACTAGACTGCATGTTGAAAATCAGTAAAGCTTATTTAAAATTATTAGCATGCACTGGTGATGCTAATGGTCACACTTGGGTGTTTGGGGGGGGGNACTATTATTATTATTAGTTATGATAGTTATTATAAATTATAACTAGTTATAATTTCACTGATCAAGTCGAGGATGGGATGGACAGGACATATACCATGAATGGGGGTAGAAGGGGAAGACCAAGGTGTAGGTGGGTGGACAATATTAAGATGGATCCTAGAGAGACAGGATAGGATAGTATGGATTGAATTTATTTGGCTCAGGATAGTGACCAGCGGAGGGCTCTTGTGAACATGGTAATGAACCTTCGGGTTCCATAAAATGCTTGAAAATTCTTGAGTAGCTGCAGATTTGGCAGCTCCTCCAGAAGGGCTCTGCTCCATAAGTAATACATTGTGGATATGATGCTTATTTTATCAAGAAGAGTAAATAGTTTTCTAAAATAGTCCTGTCATCTATTTAAAGGGAAGCTCTTTTAATAAGGTCTTCTTTTATTTTTGCAGGCAAACAGTGGTAAAGACACAAATGGATGTCAGTTTTTCATTACATGTGCAAAGTGCAACTTCCTGGATGGAAAACATGTTGTGTTTGGTAGAGTCGTGGATGGACTGCTGGTGATGAGAAAAATAGAGAATGTTCCTACAGGTCCAAACAACAAACCAAAAATTCCAGTTGTCATATCACAGTGTGGTCAGATGTAATGCCATTCATGTATAAGACTTGAAGTTCTCAGTGATGAAGATTCATGCATTGTCTTGACTATGATAGCCTGTTGCAGTCTAATAGCTAGGTTCCACCAACATTCCAAAGAATTTACTAGAGTAGGAGACAGTGAGTTCCTCCAGAACATTGGTACTCATCTGCAAGACTACATCAGAGGTCATAATGACCTAGATCACAGTATGAATTATTCATATGCTTGAGATGATGCACATCAGTTACAAACTTTCCAAGATACAATATCTAAATAAAGACTGACACAATCCAAAATGAAAATTCTGTACATTCACATGTTCCTTCTTATGCAGTATAGGAGAAAACTCAAAATTCCCATGTCTGACTACAAACAAACTGCTGGAGGTTTTGCCCAAATCTAACGGTATTCAGCTGGTGAAGAAACGCCATACTGCACCACTGACACCATAAAATTCTATGACTAAACACTATCCTTAGTTATATCCATGTCACAGGATTGGATGTTTTTCCTACATTCATTTTAATATAATCTTTCAAAGTAAACTTTAGTGGGAGGGTACACCAAAGAAACTGGCAACTGCAACATAACCGCAATTTCCAAGAAAAGTCACCGATTTAAATTAGGAAACTGGTTTCTACATTATCAGGCACACACCACACCAATTTCAAGCAGACAGCTGGTTTCCAGATTAGCAGGTGAACACTGAAGATTGGGATGTTAATTTATTTTAATTAAGGCCAATTTGTTTTAATCAGGAAATATAGCTTTCACACACGACAGGAAATTTTGACATACAGTGCAACAATTTTGGCAAGATAGAAGACACATGACGATGGTCGTACACGGCCAAACCTTAGTATGTAAGAAGGGTGACTATATAATAAGTTATATTTACTCGTAAGATGGAAATATATGTGAAATAACTGATGTATTACTGCAACAGAATGCTTACATACAATGTCAGGAAGAGAAAACACTCATTGCATCTGTTTTTCTATGACAATTTAAACTTGTGTGCTACTACTGTTTCAAAAGAACTTGACCAGGATCCAGACTCCTTCATCTCATGAGAAATTCTTTCCCAAGCCAAATCTATTTTGTCCTGCCTAGCATGCTTGGTGGCATCTGTCATCAGGCTCTTGCTCAGTTAACTGCACAAAAACAAAATTAGCAGCTTTGTCAACCTTTTGTGCCATATTAAGAAACAAACGAATCACTGAAGCATGTTATAGAACAGCTGACACTAGGAAACCATGCACCAATGCAAATGTGAGAAGACTGGTATGCTCCGTTGCCTGGGAGTTGAGTTTCTCAGTCTTATACCAAGTTATGTTCCCATTTCCTAAATTTGTGCTGCTCCACTCAGGCTGATAACAATTCTTGGAAATTGCAGTTTCCAGTTTCCTTGGTGTGCGCTCACCCTTAGTCTCACGTCATTCCATTAGGTTTTCAATCAAGAATTTTGCATGTAGATTCTGATGATGGTATGTACCACTAAGAATAGTGGATTTTTGGAGTATGTCCATCATGTGGTATTCTAAATACTAAAGAACACAACGTTTCAGAAACTGCATCTGTTTCTGTCCTCAAGCGAGTGTTGGGTCCCTTAGAAAGAGCTAACCTCAATCATTGGACAGCCCATGTCAGTCATAGCCGTGATTAGACCCGACATTGTAGTCATTGAGGTTATGTTTTTCTAAGGGACCCAACACAGTAGGTGTCTCCCCCCTCATCCAAGGATGGAAACAGATCCAGTTTCGAAAACATTATGTTCTCTAGTTCTTAGAGTACTGATCGATTGACAAAGTCCCAAAACCCAATAATTCTGAGAATTCTGCATTTATTCATCCACTATGTATGCTGCACGTCCATGTCAACTCCGTGTTCTTAATTTAATCACAGCAAGAACATTAAATGGACGCTAGAGATTTGTCTTGTAATGTCCTGCACTCTCCTAATTCATTTTTATTAGCATCCAGTAATTTTAAATATCTTCATCCTTCAACTATTATTATAACATGTAAGATGCAGTATGTTCCCAATCCTGCTCTTTCACAATCATGAGTTTCGGAAGGTCAAAAATTTCTTACATGAATAGCACATTTATTAAATATGGAAAATAATACATTGTTTGTATTGGGCTTTGGTTGGGACGAAAGAAAAGTTCCCTAAATCAGAATTTAATTGCTGCTTCCATGTAGTGTAACATGTCTACTACTATACAACCTCTTTATTTGACCGTCACAACACAGCAAATATAGAACTTCAAGGACAATGCTCAGTATAGTTCTGCTACATGTTTTGGCCACGAGTGGCCATCATTAGGCAAACACACTTAACAATCGTACACCATTGAACTGCAGTACGTAAAATCTGATACAATGTTATAAATCATTTAAGTTAATTTGCACAAGAATACAATAAGTAGGTTATTTAAAACAATAACAAGTCATATATAAAATTAAAATTTGATTGATGTTTAGTAACACTGAATCAGTCGTTGGTTTTACTTTTCATACATTTCTGTCAATGAATAGTAAATTTGAGTTTCTTATAAAATTGTGTAGGTGGTCTACTACTGTAGGAATTCAGGATCCTGAAATGGAGGTTATGAAGATTTCTATCTTCTTGGATATAACGCCACACCAGCATCAAGGTAGGTTCTGTTTGCCACCTGCTCTCACTGCTTCTTCCTTAGCTTATTCTTCAACCTTGAAGATGGAAGCGATATATTTCCCCAAAATGTTGCATGACTTTCTAAGCACTACACAGTGTTATATCCCAGAAAATAGTACTTATGGCTACTACCGATTACCTCTAACAGCAGGATGAGCCGTGAGTCCATTAGTTCTGTCAGCAATAAATATGTATCTGCATTAACATTCAAAAGAGATGGATGGATGCAGGAAAGTTATCTTCAAGTTGGAGTATACCTCCCCACTCATATTATTTACATTTAAAACTTACAAAATATATACCATTGCAGTTACACAAATGAAAAAAAAAATACTGCAGATTAAGATTTACTATTACAGAGACTTCTGCAGTGTACATAAATTTATACTTACAAATGTGACAACATACAGACGAGTTACTGAATAATGAAAATATTAATAAGGGATTTAAAATAATGTAGTCAAAAAAACATTTTTACCTCACAATTTATACATTAAGATAATTTACTTCTCATTAAGAGTTAATTACAAACTATGATGAATTATCATCAAGAACTAATCGGTACAGTAACCAATTTTTGGGTTTTAACTGATGCCTTACCAAAACGATTGGTGGCTTCACGTATAAAGGCATCTTCCATTTGCCTTACCACTTCATTGAAGAAGACATGAGCTAGATGAGAGTGTAAAAGAGAACGGAACTCAAAAGTTACGGTGAAGTCTATTATGCAGCTCTGAGGATTTCCCTTCAGTCCTGGGCTAAACTTCCATTCAGTCAACAAGTGGTTAAATAATTTTCCCTCTGTGCACACAGCCTTTACAAGGTAGGGTTTGTGGATTGTAATATTAGATGTATAACTCTCATAGATGGGTGGAAAGCTAATCATAAGATCAGCTCTCATGTGCTCAGGCCCCCTAGACCTCACAACTGATTTCTTGCAGAATGGCACAAATTCTGTATATTTTTCAACCTCGGCTACCACAGTATACATCTGTTCCATGGAGTACCTGCAACCATTAATGCAAAATTTCACTATATTCAATTACTTAATATGGGATTAATAGTGATCTTCAAAGTCTGCACACAGAAGTGAGATTCCACAGAAATGACTAATTAGTCAATTCTGCCTCCATTTTATTCATTGTACCATGTCAGTTTAATGTCTTATTAACAATTAACAATCCTAGTTACAAAGTTCAGGTGAATATGCCAGCTCACATGCACAGATCAAGCTGCACTCCACCAACATGAAGGACAGGTTCCTCTTGAGCAGACTGCAAACCTCTCAATCACTTCCTGAAGGAAAGAAAGAAACTTCTTCTCCAGTGATAATTACTTACTTCCAACTAAATGACATTCCTCTACCCAAGCCCCCAAAAAGTGCTGTCACTTCGAAGTTCTCTGATTAAAATTTCCTTCATGTGAGGAAGACTTAATGGAGGTCCTGAAAATCCCCCCCCCTCAAAATTTCACTTTTATCCTGAAAACATTGTCTCTGGAAGGGGTCATCCTTTCTCACTACTTCATTTCCCCACCTGTGACAAAGAACCTGTGCACCTTAAAAAGACCACTTGCTGACCCATCCTTCCCCTGACTCAGAATGGACTTCTTTCCTTACTCCCTCTTTGGGTTTAATAACACACCTTGCAGCCTGCCGATCTATATAACTGAGCCAATTCCTGAGCCCACACATATCAACCCTGAAGATGGAAGCCCATGACCTCCAAAATGGCAGACTCTGCCTACTGAGGCTATACAATATTCCATGAATGAATATTATCAACATAATTGGTCATAAGTGTGTAAATTTGTAATGTATTTAATTCAGTTAATATAGGTAATTTAAATAAAATTGTATTAATTCAAGTTTTATAGTAAGTTATTTTTAAATTATTTTATTAAATTTTTTACTTTATATTATTATTTATGTTAAATCGATTCACGTAAGTGATTTTTGTTATGTGACTCGTGTAATTTTGTATACGTATCTTGATATTTCCATTTTCAAAAAGACCATTTCCACATCCTAGGTTTGTTACCTGTATGGATATATGGCAAATGAAGGAAACTCAGGATTACACTCATACAATACAAGGAAAAAAGACAACTTACACATCGTCCCATGTAATACAAGTCTATACAAGAACAACTTTAACAATGTAGGAATTCGACTGCTAAATCATTTACCACTACATATTAAAGAGATACCAGTACTATTCAAGTTCAGAAGTGCTTTGAAAACTTACCTACTTAATCATTGCTTCTACAAAGTGGATGAGTTTCTCTTGTATGGGGCAAGCACTAGCTCTAATCAATTATAATCACATAAGTAATGAATAATTGGTTTTGGAATCGCTACTGCGCAGTTTTCTTTTCCCTTTTCCAGCAACCAAGCTAACACAGTGGAGATTTACCGGAACAGGCTACTCTGGAGATATGCAGACTTCAAGAAGCTTCACCAGCACTACAGAGACCAGGACCATAAACTACAGTGAAGCAACATACCAGACAATATTATCTCTAAGGCCGTGCCACAGCTTAAGCGGTTAGTNAAGGCAGAAGACCACAATCTGAGGGGTATCTTTCCCAAGCATTACATATATTTCTCAAATAATCCATCATTCTGAAATAAAATGTTTCAATTTATACAAACCTAACTGGAATCCATCACGTCTGCCATAACATAACACAATACAGACTTTGTGTAATTCCTATAAGTATGTTTGTATATATCATCAAGCACACACAAGCATAGAAGGCCATGAGCAATATTTACTTCCTATCAAGCAGGTTGGTGAGCAGTAATGCTCTATACTTATATTCAGGAGGTGTGTGGTTCAAAACCCGGGCAGGACACTGGCTATTACAACAGATTATTCATAGTTATCCTCAATCCCTACAGGCAAATGCTGGGACAATACAAGTATGCCATAACAATTTCCTTCCAAACCCTTTCCAATACAATAAAATACAATACAATTCATTGTTCACCAATTATCCTACCATTCTGCAATGTATACCCTGAGATACTGACAGCATTATAAAACACCATAAAAATATATATTCACATTCTTCCCAATCAGACACCTTAAAAACATCTCTCAATGTGAACACTAAAAGAGAACATGTACACCTACACGTACATACTACCATTACAATACTTCTTCCAAACAACATTGACCATGAAGTCACTAGAATTATATGAGATCTGGGGTTCTTGCAGTGTTGAATACTAAGATTATGGTCATCTAGGATGTGACGCCTTGTTTCTGTACCAGACTACATGTCATATCCACACACAGTACTCAGTGTCATTACCTTTTCAGAATGTAATGATCCCTAGGGTCTATCATGCTAGCTTCTTACCCCACAAGTTTCCTGCCTGCATATTCCTTCTTCTTGCTACCAATTACTCGCATATTGAAAAATGATCGGAACTGTACAGCCACAGGAAGTTCGGTTATTCCACTTCCATGTTTTACTGCACAGCAATGATGATAATGTAGATTCCATTCTGTTGTTATAGGTATACTGAAACAAGGAAGTTCTGAAATGTACAGCTAACTGTAAAATCTAATTGTAATGGCAAATAACGAAAATGTTTACACACAAACGAAGCCTGTTATCAATATCATTCACAGCTTGCACTCAGATGAATCCCTCCTGTATTATTGGTGACGGTGTATTCATTTACATCAAATCTTACGCTAACGTGCGCAGCGTACCTGTTCGTTGACACAGTTTTAATCTCACGGTAACAATTTTTTTGTAACCACCACCTAGCACACACTTTCAAAGCAGCCATTATGAAGTGGCTGTATTTTCTTGATCCCACTGTATACCACAAATCAACCTACGCATTTCGCATTAATTTCAAGATAAGGAAAGAGCAAAACGTGAGGAGTTTCATTTCCTCCGCCTTTCTGCAGCCCGAAACGAATCGAACCCTTCCTACCTAACAGGATGGAATAGCGGTAATGCCTTCGACACACACATATGAAAAGTCCTCGGTTCGATATTCTACCGGGAAACTGACCATTCTGACGATCCTGAGGTATTACGTGATTTTTCTCGGTCTCTCCGTTAGGCCAGTACCCTTTCCTTCCAAATCCTTTAAAGTCATCAATAGTCCAATTCGATACTATAAAGTCTCGAACGTCTAGAATAAGGCAGCGGCAAGATATAAACCAGGACAAAGAACGAGTCCTTGTGAAGTGGGGATGTCATATTTCCCGTACAGCCCCTCACTCATGCAATTTACTTGGACTACGTGATCATGGCGCCTTTGCTAGACGCTGGTAGAGATTGTAGAAACCGTGAGGAACTCGACTGCCGACGACGGTACGTCACACAACACTATTCGTTTGGTTTTGTCTACTCCCGTGTGGTTACGTTTCGTATGGTGCTCAAAGAACAAGAAGGAACAACCACAGAGTGATTAGGATTTGACTCATGAAAAGAGAATTAATACCACGGATCACTGAAAATCGTGCAAAATTTACCTTGTGTGTTTCTCTCTTGTTATTACTTGACATGTGTTGGTAATGCTGTGAAGAAGATTTTAGCAAAATGGATGCAATACCAAGAACTCATGAAGGTAATTTAATAATATTAATACATTGGCTTATAGCACCAAATTGTACAATGCAATGAGCTAAATCGAAAGAAAAGCACTTATACTTATATACTTTGTATTAGTTTTTAAGTGAAGCTTGTAATGCTAGTTTGAATGTGTATGATCTGTGACCCTCAAATTGTCGGTTGTGTTAAACGGATTGTTCTAACAGTGCCTTAATTTCAGATATCGAAGCACAAATCCGGGATCTTCAGTCCCGGAAGAAAGATCTTATTGAAGAAATGAAGGAGAAGGAACGCGTTGGCCTTGGTGAGAGTGGATTTTACGATAGAGACATATATGATGGAGGCGGTAATAAATACGATGGGTATGTTACGTCAATTGCGGCCAACGATGAAGTGGATGTAAGTAAGGCTGCTTTTGTGTAATACCCTTAAAATCATTAGCATTTTCACGTGTATGCGATGACAGCAAACAAGGCACACCTTGGGAGTGCAGTGACAAGTACTTAGACCCTGTTGCTCTTAAATGCAGTAGACACTAATTACCGTCATACTAGTTGGATTCTTAAGTGCAACAGAAGGCAGATAGGTCACTATAAGGGTTTATTACTAAGAGGGCTATAGTAGCAAATTAGCATAAAAAAATATATTTCATATTGATGTTAACTTCATGTTGTTTTACTGTGGTAACATTCAAACTAAACACTAATATAATGAAAAGCTATAACCCCAAGTAATGTACAGATGTACTGGAACAGAAATGAAACTTAACCAGAAATAAATTTTGCTCAGACCAGCTGTTGTGAATTTTTATCTCATAATAGAAAAAACCCAGAAATTATTGGGAGATATGAATTAGGTGATTTTGTTGTTATGTGACACTCTGGCTGTCAGCACAACAAATAATTGAAAATAAATCAATCGAACTGTTTACTTTGGTTTTATTTAATAACTGCTTCATATTTCAGGACCATTGGACCATTTTCAGGCAGTTTCATTAACTACATCTCACATTATTGATGGAACCATATTAGTGTTAATTATGATAATCATCATATTACATGTAATTATTACTAAATTTGTAAAAAATTATCTTGTTGTTACGACATAAAATTCTATGTTATTTGTCACGTACTATAGGTGGTGTTTATCTTCCGAGGTTTGCTGTTGTGTTTTTGGTACTATTCAGTTATAATGTTATTAGCTTTATATATATGTTTTTCCTTGCCATCTTGAATGAGACATGATTTTTTTTTCTTTAGAGTTTGTTGTGTACTTCTTATCACATGGACATTTGGTTTTCCTGTTCCTGGTTTCAGTGTTCTAGACTCTGTGTAGAAGGGAAAAATCTCTTGCCCCTGTTAGGAATCAAACCCTTGTCAAACCTATAGCCTGTCACTGTACCCACTGAACTTCCTAGTTCCACTAACGATGAAAATTAACTTCCTGCCCTATGTTTTGGTCACACCAAAGTCTTCAAATTAAAAATAATAGATGTCCCATTTGTAAAACTATTCAAATTTCACACCACTTTATCATATCTGCACCAACCAGAATTTAACCTTTAAGTGCCAAAGTGCCCCATTTGTGCCAGTCATGAGTAAGGTGGTCGTGGCCAAAGTACCCCATTTTGGCCAGTCAGGCATTTAAACTCCGCTAGTGGAAGCGCGCGCACGCTGCTAGTAGAAGCTCATGCACAGTCCTAAATATTTATTTTTAAATGTAGTAATTACCAGACAGACTTGAGTAAAACCCTAATAGAGGAATTAAAATAATATCTAACTGAACGACAGCAAGTAAAAATATACGTATGAGTTATGCCAAAACTTATCCACGATCCAGTAATTTTATTGCAGATTCTGCAGATAGGTATGTTAAAAATATATTGTAAAATTCGATGTACATACCTTTTTTGTTGTTACCTGCTTGATGTATATATAGGTTCAAATGAAACTACAGTATTTGATTTCACTACAGACGCACACAAAACAGATTGCGCTCTGTATCTCAGCCACAATGCAGCTGTGTGTTCATTCAAATAGAAGGGACAATAAGCTTCCGCAGCTCTAACGGAAGGTCTTAGCACTGAAGAAGGGACCCCTCTCGCTTTCTCTTGAATAGCCATCCTTTCATTCTTTTGACCTTCAGTCAAAGATTCAAAAATCCGAAGGGTGTAAGCAGTGCTAGCAGAAGACCAAATGATTTTTATTGCTTCCATCTGTTTTATGACACCAGGGACTGCTAAAATTTGTCAAGTGTTACAAACAGAAATTAATTTATAATGCAGAACAACTCTGTGAAGAACTGGGAAACCATTTTTGCAGTATGCATCAAAATTAAAACACAAAAAATTGAAAATAGAGTATAACACTTTGTATTAAAAATTTCAAATCTTCCGTTATAATATGTGACACTATGTTCTTTTCTGATATAAACAAAGTTAATTCCATCCATTTATCATAAAAATTGGGCTAGATTCAGCATTTTTAAACACAACGCTTAAAATTGATTAAGCTCATAACAGGAACGGACATTTAAACGCAGAGTAGCAACGGGCATTTAAACGAGCACCAGCAGCGTGCATTTAAATAAACTCCGGCCAGCTCAAGCTTACCACTATTTCGAAGTCCAGCATTTAAAGGTTAATTGCGCAGTTAACAAATGGAGGTTGGGAATGGGAATTAGAATCACATAAAAAGTCTGCCACAACCCTTGGGCATTGTTTTAACAGCCTTGGCTACGATGCATATTGGCTGGGGCTGTAATAGTATCCAGAACCATTTTTGAACTCTCCAAATCATTTCATTGTATCTTCCTGTGACATTTCTTATATTCTATTTATAATTTATTTTTGCACAAATTGTTACATGTGGGATTTTGTGTTTAGTGAAGGAACAGGCAGTCTGGATTTTGATGAAAGTTTAACCCCCAGTTTGCCTTAAGGTCATGTTTTTGTGAAGTACATTGTTTTTCAGGAATGTAAGGCAGGTAGTTGGCAAGTGATTACTATGTTTTGAAGTAGTTTTACTGTTTGTCAGTACATGTTGAAATTTTTTAGATGAAATCTATGTCAACATGATGTAAACAGCCAGTAGCCGAATGAACATCAAAACCAGTTTGTTACACTGTTATACTGAGATCACCATTTGCTTATGTCTTATTTGGAGACATACCAAGATGAGTGTATCATGTTTGCTCAGATTCATTCATTCATATTTAATTTTTCTGTTGATCCATACTGGTACAACCACTGCATATAGAAAAGTCAAAAACGAATATAAGACAGTACAATAATATTAATAATAAGACATGCAATCATTAAAAGATTTTGTCGAAGAAAAATAAAAATAATAGAACACTGTAAATATTGATACAATGATGTTAAGATTACCGTCAGAAATACTTATCTAGTTTTATGCGTAAAGAATTCATCCACAGTAAAAATAATGATAATGCAAGTAATTTTAACGTTTTTTTAAAGCTTTTAATATCACATGCCTAGTCTTTAATATCAGCTGGGAGATGGTTATATATCTTCACGGCTGCATAGGCGGGACTTTTCTGAAACATTGTTAAGTGAACTGTTAATTGAAAAAAAAAATAGAATTATTCCTGGCATTAAAATTATGAATTTCAGAATTTTGCCTAAACAATGATTTATTGGTAATCATAAACAGAGCCAAGGAGAGTATGTACTGAGATGCTAGAGGTAGTATATTTAAAATTTTAAAACATTTTTTGCAAGAATCCCTGGGTCTTGCTTCCATTAGTATTCCAACCATTCGTTTTTGGAGTTTGAAAATATTCGTAGTGTGGGAAGAAGTTCCCCAGAAACTTAATCCTTATGTTATGACTGAATGAAAATAAGCATGATAGATTATCTTTATGGAATTTAATGATAAGAAAGGTCTGATTGCTCTTGCAGTATAACATGCTTTGTTTAATTTGGAAGCCAACATATCAGTGTGACTCTTCCAAGACATAGTATTGTGAAGTACTAGCCCAAGAAACTTCAGTTCAGTAGTATTGGCAATAATTTTGTTATTATATTTAATTTGTATTTTGGAATCAATAATATATTTAGAGTGGAATTGCATACAATAGGTTTTGTCCAGATTTAGTGAGAGTAAATTTGCCTTAAACCATTTCATCACACTAGTGAAGACTGACTTCAGATTATTTCCTAGTACAGTATTATTTTGATTACTGACAATTATGCTAGTATCATCCGCAAATAAAATTGTTAGGGGGTTTGCATTAATGTTCAGATATGTTATATTAGTAGATAATGGAAGGTCATTGACATATAATAGGACAGGTAATGGTCCCAGGATAGATCCCAGGGGAACACCATGTTTGACCAGACCCCAGTCTGATTTTCTCTTATCAAAGGGTCCATTTTTTATTATCACCCTTGTTATCGGTGACATAGTGACATATTAGTAGCAATATTGGCAAAGTCAAAACAGATTTATGTTTTGCATATATTTATGTTTCTCCAAGAAACCTGAATTTGATGCATTAAATTGCATTAGGTTAGTATAAATTACTCTTGTAATGCAGAAGAAATACTAGAAATCTGGACTAAGAAGGGGGAAAACTCTGCAGTTCTTTGTGCATCAAGGAGAATAGTTTGAGCATTGTAAGGTCTGTTTTAATAGCCTTATATCCACCCTCCATGTCTTCTAGTGATCTTCCTTCAGGTTTTCCTACCAAAACTTTGTATGAACTTCTATCCCATGCATGCAACGTGCCCTGGCCATCACATTATGATTTCGTTATTCTAATGATGTTTGGCAAAGGCTACAACGTACAGGGCTCGCCATTATGCAGTTTCATCCCTGTAATACAGGCATGTCCAACGCATCAATCACGATCGACCGGTTGATCGCACAGTGATTTTTGGTTGATCTCATAGGCCTATAAGGAAATTGTACGTGAAAAACATGTAAATTCACTTGTAATATAAAATAACTACTCTTCAAGGTCTTCAATTATCAAGAAACACCATTGTGCGGTGAATAGAAATGATGTGCGGAAACATAAGTGAACAGTTGTTGAAAGATGTTTCCAGTTGTGTTGCTTTCTCCCTCCAAGTGGATGAATCTACAGACAACAGAGACAGTCCAGTTACAGCTTTTACAACAAACATCATGTGTCGTGTTATTTTTACCAATATTTTTGCTTAAAGCGAGGTACGACGATAGGAAGGGGCAGTAGATCACTGGCAGTTTTGACACTAAAAAGTTGATCACAACCTGTTTGAAGTTAGACATGCTGCTGTAATATATCACTATTAAAACGAAATGTGTAAGAGAGATCTTAGGTTCATAAAAATTGACAGGGATGGAGCCACAGTTATGTATCAAAATATCAGTGTCATTTTATGTGAATGTGTAAAGTATTGAATAGTTTCTCACTTTCAGAATAACCTCTTTTTTTTTTTTTTCTCTCTCTCCTTCCTGTGTGTAGGACGAAGATGATATCATTTCATTAAGCCAGAGCAAGCGTCCAGGTTATACGGCTCCTGCAGCTCTCCTGAATGATGTTGCCCAGGTAAGAGCATTTTACTGAACTACTCTTATACCAAGATAGATGAGAAAATTCAGCAATAAAATCTGAAGGAAATACAAGCCGGAAGGTTGCGGGTTCAAGTCCCAGTGAGGTGATTGGATTTTTTTTCAATTGACCTAATCCTTCCAGCCGCACTATGCCCTGGAGTTTACTCAGCCTTTAACAGAAATGAGTACCAGGAATTAATTAAATAATTTTCCTCGGGAGTAAAGTGTGGCCAGCGCATAAGGCTGGCAACCTTACCGCCGTCTTTGAGCCGATTGTCTAGATAACGTGGGACCCTCAACGTCTCACAACCCTATGGGCCTTCACCACCTGTTACAGGGATACATTTACTTTTTTTTATAATGTACTGAATTGCTTTAGGACTAGGACCAGTGATAAATTTGTTTCTTGCGTAGAATCTTGAGCATCCAGTCTTAGATAGTAGGAGGATTCATATTCCATCTGTGTTTTAGTCTTTGTACTTTTCTCATTATAGTATCATCAGAATTGATATTTTTAAATTTTCAGAGCGAGAAAGATTATGATCCATTCGCTGAGCGGCGCCGTCCAACAGTTGCGGAAAAGGAAGATGAATATAGACAGAAGAGACGAATGATGATCATATCACCTGAACGAGTTGATCCCTTTGCAGAAGGTTTGTCCACCATCCCACAATTGACTTTATTGTTTGTGGGTTTTTCTCCCTTTAATTGGAGGAAATTCTTCTTTTGCCATGATTGTGCTGCTGTTGATATTTTAAGTGTTATAAAAGTGGATATATATGTATAATTTCTTATTGCTAGTGGGGTGGGACTAAGTCTCTTGTACTGTGGCCACTTCTGGCCTATTGTACCAGCCTCAGATGATAGGTGAGGGTGATTGTGGAGCAATTGGTGGAATGAAGATTGGCAGGGGAAACTGAAGTACTTTGAGAAAACCTGCCCCAGCGCCACTTTGTCCACCACAGATCCCACTTGACTGAACCCGGGCTGCCCCGGTGGGAAGCCAGCAACTAACTGCTTGAGCTGTGGCACCCCGTCCAGATATATATGTAACAGTTTTCCATCTCTTTTTATTGAATGAGGTAGTCAATCATTGAATAGCCGCGTATACCTGAAGTACAGCTGCAAATTATGGTCGATCTTCACAAAAAATGGTTATATGTGAAATTTGAGGTTCGCACATTAGTGACACTGAAGATTACCAATTTTTTGGACATAGTGTCCCATTTCAGAAGATACTAATCTTCAGCATTCTTATATTATATTTTTTCTGTGTGTTATCCCTTATTAGCACAGCCAGAATTAGTATATGTTCATTGTTTTACTGCAGTATTCATATTACCTTCCTTATCATTTGGGGCTTGATTCCGGAACTTTATGTAATGGCGCAATAGCAAGAAGCCCACATCATGTGCATAGCCTTTGTCCATTCATTGTTTTCCATAGAGATGGATGCTGATGTGATGTGAGATGTTGAAATTCATTTTGTTTGGGCTGGTGATTGTGTGGAAAATAATATATAGAAGTACAAAGAAAAATATGTTGCTAACATTTAGCTGTCTCGTGTGATGGTGACTTACTTAACCATAGTTGTTGCCTTTATAATATGTCACAATATTGTATTTAAGCATCCTGTTGCATTAATATACTCTTCATTCACAAACTACGCTTCCATCCACAGTGGAACCCATTTATTATCTCCATCTCTTGCCACTACGTTTTGGCCGTATATGGCCATCATCAGCTGTCAGTATTTGTTGAAACCGTTTCACTTTGTAGTATGTGCAAGTTCACGTATCACATGTAAATGTGATATCTCCCTCTTAAAATAAATGTACGCTATTAAAAATTCCTAAAAATCATTAAAACAATTAAAACTTAATCATCTTGTACAAGTAAATATCTGCTAATTATTTGATTGTTTGTTATCAGTAATGTCAGCTTGAATTGAATACTGCAGCTGTGGTACATTTTTGCAAAAAAAAAATTAGAAATTTAAGAAATTTAGAAGTTTAGCATAATAACCAGTTCATTTTCTCTTTCCATTCACGCATTGATACACGGTTGGACATTGTGCCTGAACATGGCTGTTTTAATACTTTGTGGTCCGTGTATTTCTAAGAATTTGGCTTCAGTGCCAACTGGACTTCATTTGTAGTTCCTTTGTGCAACAATCATATATCCCACTTTTCACAAAAATATACATGGATGTTGCAAATAAGAATGTTCAGTGGTATGTACATGACACATTAAAATATGAACAGCATGTACTTAACATTTGTCGGTTGCTTGGAGTGAGAGAATGTGAATGACAGTGTGAGTGAATGAACCAGACAAGGGAAACGTGCAGTATTAAACGTATAATATCAAAAGAAATGTAGATGTCGAAGCAGAAATTTTGGAATGTATGATAAGTTGCATTTTAATGTAAAATATCTTACTGACATTTTTGTTATTCTATTAATAATAGAGTTTGAAGAGTTTTCTGTTCCTGTTGTTAAGGAATATAATTCTGGGAGGGTTAGCTGTACAGTAATTCAGTATTTTGTAAGGGTTGGGAGGGGATAGATGAGTCACTTCTACTAATGATCTTCAATTTTCTTTCCCCTCCGAGGATTTTCCACAGCGGAGTCTTGGATCTGCATCGCCATTCTGGGAATTCGAAGCACAGTTCAGTGTTAAGCTAATATAAAGTTCCTAAAAATATATAATATTTTTATGTCAAAATGGGTTAAATACATTACCTTAATCTGTTTCTCATTTAGTAAAATACTGCATAGTCTTTAGTTACAAGTAGAAGAGCAAGAAGTAAATAGTTTTCTAGTTCAGTGGAAAAAGTATAATGTGCATAGTTTCAAAGGAAGGCATGGTAAAAACCTGGCCCGAATTCCATTGGAATCCATGGACATCTCTGCTTGGATCTGCAGCTGCCAAGACCAATGTTATTAGGGGAACTGTGGCTGTTCTCCAGTTCTGGGTTTGATAAGAACTCAAGTTCCCTTGGTGTGAGAGTGTGTGTGAGCTATCAGAAAATTATTAATCACCCCAGCTTTTTTCTAGGTGGCTAGTAAAATTCAACATGCAGCTCAAGATGTTTGAAAAACTCAACCGTTTTGATGAAGTGAACAGGAGAAGTGGTCACGTACGTATCTAGGCGAGATTACTGCATTTATCCAACTGCAAAGACATTGCATCAAACTAATTAAAATATAGTTCAGTAATATTGTCCTAATCATTCATTGACAGATGCAGTTATTTCTTATTTTATTTATAATCATAATGTGAGGATAAATTTACCTTTGCCACACTGAAAGCAGTTTGTGTCATGTCTTTGACTTGGTTGAGTGTGGTGAACAGTTTTCAGAAGTACATAGTTTCAAGAAGATCTTTATTCTAAAATTGCTTCCCCCACCTCTCCTCATCCAAGCCAGATTTCATAGCGTAATCAAAACAGATCTAAAGCTTGCATATTTCTGTTTGTATTAAGCGTAAAACAGGTAATAAAAAATGTGAAACCATTATTCACACAGAACTGAGACATATAACATTTACTCTGTAAATGAAGTGAGAGTGAGATGGCTCCATGCTTGTTCACTTTGGACCTGGTCCCACCTGCCCCTCTCCCAGCATCAGTAACACTTCTTGTTATTCTCTGCTTATTCTTTTACGCTGAAGATGGCACAAGCAGATTCTTCCTAGATTCTGGCAATTATCCATCAGGCTACAGAGCATCACAACCCAAAAGGCTGTAATCTTTAACTTACTCTTTTCTGCACATAAATCTTAATTTTTCAAAGAATTTAATAACATGTAATTAAGTAAGAAGCTGAGCAAGTTATGAAGAACATTTTGTGTTGTAAATGTTTATGGCATTATTTTGGTATTGCTTCCTTTGGTTGTTGTCCATTTGAATAGATAAGGTACATTCTGTAGCCGTCCCCTGAGAGATGTACTGTGTTACTTCAAATATAGGACACACTTTTTTTCCTGTTGAAACATTGATGTATGTCTTAAATTCGAGGAGTTATTCATCAGTTTGCAAACTATCCATGGAGTAGCCTGGAAAGAACCTAACCTGAAAACATTTGGAGTAGGGTCATCAAGCCACATCATCCCCCCCCCCAACCTATAACTGTGAGTCAGCCCCTAACTTCCAGTTCAATCATTGCCTGAGATTCATATTCGTCTGTGTTCGGCTTTCTGTGAGTTTTAACCCATGGAAATGGTACAGTAGGTCAGAAGTGTGGCCGCAGTACAAGGGACTTAGTCCCACTCCACTAGCAATAATAACCCATGGAAAAGCGGTTTACATATGATGCCACATTCAAAAGAAATTTGTTCTTTGCACTGAAAAACTAGGTAATTGTGCAATTGGTAGAAAGTATACAGTAAGTGAGGTATGTGTGTGTCATTGGCAAAGTATAAAAATAAAACTGTTTTTATGTCTGACAAATAGAAAGCCCTTTTCTGGACCAAGGAAAGGGAGAAATCCTAAGATAGATGCCTCTTAGAGTATTTCAGAGATTACGAAGTAAAGGATTACCTGTAACTAGGGAAGCCATACTGTCAGAAGAAAAGAATGTGCCAGAAACAGTAATATACCTTTCAAGGCTAATCATGGATGCTGTGAAAAGTTTATGGAAGAGAGAAAGCTTATCATTATGATGAAGAATGAAGATTCGTCGAAAACTTCCTTTGGAATTTGAAACTAAACTGGTCGAATTTTAGCATTTTGTTACTGAACCATGCTGAAAGAATAAGTATTCTTTGGGTCACATTGGCAGTGCTGACGAAACTTAATTTTTTTTTTACATTCCTCACAATTATACCATAAATGTCAAAGGAGAAAAACAAATGTTAATGTAACCCAGAAGCTACGAAAAGTTACATGTTACTGTCATGCTGTGTATAACCACAAATGGCAATACATTACCACTGTACATAATATTAAACAGAAAGAATAGCAGAAGCATTTTTTTTGCAAAAATATAATAGTTTGGGCCCAAAAAATGCATGGATGACATCAGAGTTAATGGAAGACTGGCTTGGATGTGTATGTGAACATTAGCCTGGTGCATTATCAAAGCTGTGGAGTATGATTGCAATGGATGCATTTCATGGCCATTTGTCCACTAGAATCAGAAATAGGTTAAGGAACAAAAAACCGATCTGGTGATAATTCATAGTGGCATGACAAGTCAGTTACAACCATTCAAGCATCGTGTCCATAAACACTGTGATGCCTCGCTGAATAAAGGATCATAGATTGACACCTAGTGGCAAAATGGAGAGATCATCATCAGTAATAGTAGAATGGATATCAAAAGCTTGAAAGAAGTTCCAGTCAGTGTTATTCCAAAATCGTTTTCAAAGTGCTTGTTTGTCTGATGCGGAAAATGGAACGGAAGGTGGCGTTCTTTGGGACGTTGGTGAACAAAGTGGTGAGGGTGCATCATCTTCAGAAAATGAAGGTGCGACTGAAAAGGACAGCTTTACCTATACTAACGGGAAATGAAATTCACAGTTCCATAATCCTGAGAAACATAGAATTTTCTCTATGACTTTAGGTCCTTGTTTTATAGTTTACTACAAAGTTAATGGGCAGACAAGATTCAGTCTGTGCAGGATTACAAGGATGCCTGTACTTACATAAGGGAATGTTTTGGTATTGAAGAGGACTGTAATTCCATATAAATTATGCTGGTATTTTAGTTTGCCAGGCCTATATTGGATCTTCTTGAAGCTACGTATGAAAACATGATGGAGCAGATACTCTACCAGACTTCAGAATATTAACAGTTGTCTTAAATTTTAATTAAAAGAAATTCACTCATTTAGATTATAATCGTGGTACAATTTTATTTGTTAAAGAAAGAAATTACATTATTTAGGGATTCTTCATGTAGGATTATCTCCTCTGTGCAATGTGGGGTGTCATGTAAAAAGTCTGCCAATGACTAACTGTTGCGCTCGGCGTGACTTTAATTGGTTCTTGCAGGTGGGAAAACTCCAGACCTTGGCTCACGAACTTACACAGAAATTATGAAGGAACAGTTACTTCGTGGAGAAGAGACAGAGGTGAGATTTATTTTCAGTTTGGAAATAAGTTGATATAATCCTGTGTTGCGTTCATTTCTTCAGCACACATGTTCTTGTACGCTGAATTTTCCAGCTTCTGAAAAAGGTCACAAAATATTACTTCATCAAGGAAATCATTTATTCGTTTCCATATTATGAGTTCCTGTTTGCCCTGAGAGGTAGCTTCGTAATTTATCATGAGATTACTATTTTGCTGCTTGGAAGTGTACAGAGCTCAACAAAAGGCTACATACTCGGTAACAGATACTGAACGAAACTGTGTTTAAAATATGTTTGATGGTGCATTGTCACCAGGTAGTGATGTAGGTCATATGTTATCATTAGAAACTTATTGGATTCTGTTTTTATGATACTGCGGGAACATCTTGTTGAATACACAAAACTTTTCTTACATAATGTTGCCTACTTAGTGTATGATATAATCTCAGAAATGTTTTAGACAGACAGTATTCACTGATGACCATGAGTTTTAAAGTATTGTCCCAAGTTTTATCAAGAATATACAGACTAAATACAGAATTCTGGACCAATGTGTGACAGTTGCTTGCCTGTTTTTCTCATAGCTACGGAAACAGATCGTTGAGAAGTCCAAGGATGGAACTTTGAAGGTTGTGAGTAATGGGGAAGTTCCAAAATCTATGCCCAAGAAGCGAGGTCGTTGGGATCAAACAGGCGGAGAAGAGGGAGTTCCAGTGAAGAAAAGAGCCACCAGTAATAGTGTTTCATCTGTTGCTTCTTCATGGGACAAAGAGGATGTAAGAATCTGTTTCATATAGTCTTCTCTCCTGGGCTTGCTACATTCCCTATCTATTTCTCCTTGTATTCATTGTACTTAATTATATTTGGTGATGAGTATGAGTTATAAAGCACCTCATTATGTACTTTTCTCCAGCCTCCTGTTATTTCATCCCTCTTGGTTCCAAATATTCTCCTTAATCCCCTGTTTTTAAACACCCTCAGGCTGTGTTCTTCCCATAATATTGGAAACAAAGTTCTATAGCCATACAAAGTAGAAGCAAATGTATAATTTTGTGTGTTTTCATCTCTGTTTTTAGACAACAGACAATAAGGCAAGCTTTTCTGAACTGAACTGTAGGAAGCATTATCTTAATTTAATCTATTCTTAATTTCCTCATAAATCAAATTTTTATTTGTTCCTGTCATACCAAAATATTTTAACTTTGCCAAATTTTCAACAGATCCATTAGCTGTCTTTGTTTTATGCGTGTTATAGTTTTCCCCTGCATTCTGGCAATGAGACATCAACGTATACTTAGTTTTCTGTGTGTTTATATAAGATATATTCTAAGTGGAGCCTGATTCTTTGAGGCTGTTCATACACAATGGAAAAGAATTCTTGTTAGATTGTATCTCCTTTTACCAAAGCAGTGTTATATTGTATTGTTTCTTAAAACCTCTTTCATAGGCTACCCCTGCATCAACACGCTGGGATGAAACCCCAGGGCATGGCAAGGCTGTTCATACACAATGGAAAAGAATTCTTGTTAGATTGTATCTCCTTTTACCAAAGCAGTGTTATATTGTATTGTTTCTTAAAACCTCTTTCATAGGCTACCCCTGCATCAACACGCTGGGATGAAACCCCAGGGCATGGCAAGGCTGTTCATACACAATGGAAAAGAATTCTTGTTAGATTGTATCTCCTTTTACCAAAGCAGTGTTATATTGTATTGTTTCTTAAAACCTCTTTCATAGGCTACCCCTGCATCAACACGCTGGGATGAAACCCCAGGGCATGGCAAGGCTGTTCATACACAATGGAAAAGAATTCTTGTTAGATTGTATCTCCTTTTACCAAAGCAGTGTTATATTGTATTGTTTCTTAAAACCTCTTTCATAGGCTACCCCTGCATCAACACGCTGGGATGAAACCCCAGGGCATGGCAAGGCTGTTCATACACAATGGAAAAGAATTCTTGTTAGATTGTATCTCCTTTTACCAAAGCAGTGTTATATTGTATTGTTTCTTAAAACCTCTTTCATAGGCTACCCCTGCATCAACACGCTGGGATGAAACCCCAGGGCATGGCAAGGCTGTTCATACACAATGGAAAAGAATTCTTGTTAGATTGTATCTCCTTTTACCAAAGCAGTGTTATATTGTATTGTTTCTTAAAACCTCTTTCATAGGCTACCCCTGCATCAACACGCTGGGATGAAACCCCAGGGCATGGCAAGGCTGTTCATACACAATGGAAAAGAATTCTTGTTAGATTGTATCTCCTTTTACCAAAGCAGTGTTATATTGTATTGTTTCTTAAAACCTCTTTCATAGGCTACCCCTGCATCAACACGCTGGGATGAAACCCCAGGGCATGGCAAGGGAGGCGAAACTCCAGGAGCCACACCAGGTCAGAGCACTCGGATGTGGGATGCCACCCCAGGTCATGCCACTCCTGGTCATGCCACACCGGGAAGGGAAACTCCAGGTCATGACAAAGGAGCGTCTAGCAGGAGAAACAGATGGGATGAAACACCCAAAACAGAGAGAGGTATTTTATATGCATTTTCTGTTAAAAGAAACCCTGAAATGGGACAGTTTTTGGTGATATCTCTTAGGAAAATTTATTTAATTCTTTTAAGGGTTGTTCATCAAAATGTGGTAGGTGGTGTGTGGGAAATGTGGAAAAGTTTGTTCATGCCTTTATGTAAAGTAGGCTTTGTAACCTGTCAGTATGACTACAAATCAGAATGACTAGCTAATATTATGCAAAGACCTTTTGTGTGAAATATCACCAAAATATGAATAACAGCTTATGACATATATAAAAACAGTTATTCAAGATCTTATATAAAGTAGACTTTGTAGTTGAATGTCTGAAGAAAATGGCCACCTAATATTACGTGAAGGTATCTTATATTGAATTGAGCAAAATCGAATAAGGGTTTGTGGTGTAAATGAAAATACCCACTTTGACCACATGTAAACTGGGTTTTGTAATAGGCAAGGAGAGTTAAAAATTAGAATTGCATGACAGTATTTTATGAATGCTGTCAAGTGCCGAATTTTAGAAAAGATCTCTCCTGTTTGGTTCCTGCTACTAAGTCATAGAGAGATGGACAGACACAACCCCCACCTAAGGTGTAAGTAAGTTAGTAAGTAAGGGGAGAAGGTGAGTTAATTCTTACTATTAAACCCTTTTATGGTGTACTGTATAGAACAATTTGAAGTGACTGAATCAATTGGATTGTTGTTTATTTCAGAAGTTTAAATGTGTATTTTTGTTCTTTTCCCCATAAAGAAACACCTGGCCATAGCAGTGGTTGGGCAGAAACTCCCAGAACAGATCGAACTGGTGCTGGAGACTTGATTCAAGAGACGCCTACTCCTTCTGCCAGCAAGCGACGCAGTCGATGGGATGAGACTCCATCAAGTCAGATGACACCAGGTGCAATGACTCCACAAACTCCAGGGACACCTCACACCCCTCACGGCACCCCTCATGGAACCCCTCATGCCACACCGTCAATTATGACACCAAGTGGAGTTACACCCACTGGAACAAAGGCAATGGCAATGGCTACACCAACCCCAGGTAAGAGATACTCACTGTAAGGGAAATAACGCGGTCCAGTGCATCATATTGCAAGACTGCGTCTTTACAAGATGTTTTCAACATTATTGTACCATGCTGCATGTTATTGTGTGCCCTGCTTGTAATATTGTCACGTATATGAATGACTAGAAACGGGGTTAGGATTAGAGGTTGGATTTGTTGACCACTTTAATGCATGACTCGTGACTACACTTAATTATAGTGCCATCACTGATCTCCACACTTTACAGATCACTCCAGTATGTACTAAGTCTTTTCAGTATGCAGTGTCTTTACCATTTATCTCCTGGTAACGGCTTCTAACAATGGAGATTTTTCAGCTTCTGCGCTCGCTTTGTTGTCTGCTGGCTTTCAACTGTACCAACTGAGTCTTCTTTTCACATACTCCTGTAAAAGTAAAGGTACCAGGCCTTGGAGGCCCATAGAGTTGTGAGATGTTGAGGTTCCCACATTTTCTAGACAGTCGGCTCATAGATGGTGGTAAGGTTGTCAGCCTTACCTGCCAGCCACCCTTTACTCCCAAGAATATTCCTGGTACTCATTTCTGTTAGAGGCTGAATCGACCCCAGGCCCATAGTGTTCCTGGAAGGATTAGGTTTACATACTCCTCTACAGCTGACTGACTTCTAAACTTGTCTCGATTATAACATCTTGGCACAGACCGCGCAGAAAACGCTGTTTTCAACAGTTCCTCTGTTGTTACACATGGACTTCTTGCCATGGGAACCTGTTTGTTTCATGGGCACTACCTAGTAATGGGTCTACACGTAACAGTATATTCATTGAAATTTGTATAATTGAGGTTCTCACAGCAGTGCTTATGAATGAAGAGTTCTGTCTTCTGAGATGTATCATGTAGTACGTTGATTCTCTGTGGAAAACACAGCAGTTTATACAGTTATAAGTTTGTTTGTTGAAGGGATGTCCTGAAGCTAAATTTTGAAGCCCATTTTATGAAGAGTTAACAAACATTAATGTTAATGCTGTAAATGTTTTTGTAACAGCGTCAGTATGTAGACTATGTAATGTCAAGCTAGGATCACTAATGAATTAGCAAGGATTTGGGAGGAAATATTTATGACCTAAGTGAGGTACTATCCCAGTTTGGAGGGGCTGAAGAAGACATGAAAAACCTCAGTTAGGATGTCAGTATCTCAGCCAAGATTCGAGCCGAGTGCCTTCAGAATACAAATCTAAACCATTACTATTACACCAGACTCCTTGGCTTTGTAATTTACATGTTTAAATTGAAGTTTTAGTATATAAAGTATCATTTACTGGAATCTGTTCATTTTTTATGTTTCAGGACACCTTGCTACAATGACTCCAGAACAGCTGCAGGCTTATCGCTGGGAACGAGAGATTGATGAGAGGAACCGTCCACTTTCAGATGATGAGCTTGATGCTATGTTTCCTCCAGGTTACAAAGTCCTCACGCCACCTGCAGGTAAGATTTGCAGTTGCTAGTGATTCTGTAGAGGATCAAAAGGTCAAGCAAACCATTAGAATGGTAATTATAAGCGATGAGATAACAGTAGAAGTGCAGCATGTTTCATGTTAAACATAACCTGGCATTGTTGGATTTGAGATTCTCACAACAGTTGCTGTGAAGAGTACAATCTTTGGCTTGTAATTCCATATAATTCAGGGATAGCCTGACTTTTCAGAAGAACACGTCATCTTCATATTCAGGATTTTGAAGGGTAAGCCAAGAAAGAAACCAACAGAAGCTAAGCTCATCTTGTCACGTTTTTCAGCTGGTTTCTTGCATGGTTTCCTCTTGTTTTAATGCCATGTAGTTCACATAGAGTAATGTAATGAATGTTTGCATGAGGGTCCTACATTTCAGAGGAGTATTGGTAAATTGGATGTTAATTATAACTTTATGTTACAGGTTATATTCCCATTCGTACCCCAGCACGAAAGCTAACGGCTACACCGACGCCTATTGCTGGTACACCAGCTGGATTCTTCATCCAACAGGAAGACAAATCAGCAAAGTATATGGACAATCAGCCAAAAGGAAACCTTCCATTCATGAAGCCAGAAGATGCACAGTACTTTGATAAGTTGTTGGTGAGACATTTTGCTTATTTGTTATAATTCACTTTTTGTTTTGTTTGCACATTGTTACAGTAACAATTGTAATATGAGAATTTGAAGGTTTTAAGCATTATATTCCTCTAGTATTTCAGAACATACTTTGTAGGAGATAATTCACAACACTGTCAGTAGTTAGACTGTATAGTGTTATATGGTAGGAAGGTAGATGAATGATGAGTTGGAAAGAATTTGGAAGGAAACGGTCATGACCTAAATAAACGTGCTGTCCTGGCATTTGCCTGTATGGCTGAGGAAAAAGCATGTAAAACCTAAGAATAGATAGTTTCCCACTTGAGATTTGAACCAAGCACCCCCTGAATGCAAGTCTAGAGTAGTACCACTGTGCTAACTGCTTGGTAAGACAGAATAGGAACATTGTAATGATGAATGTAAATAGGATTGAAGGTTCAGATGGTTTTCTTTATCATTGTATACAGTCAAATCTATACGTGATCTTCATTGGTTTCTTCTCCCCCCCCCCCATTGTGTGTGTGTGTGTTTTNNNTTTTTTTTCGGTGATCCCAAGTAAATCTCAGTGTTAAAATTTCCTGCATTTAAGATTTCCCTCGGCTCAGTGTTCAGACCTGCTACTTCCCAAAGAAACCGTAAACAGTGTTTTTACTGTAAATCATTACATCCTCTTTTATATTTAGGTTGAAGTAGATGAAGAGAGCTTGAGCCCTGAGGAGCAAAAGGAACGCAAGATAATGAAACTGCTGCTGAAGATAAAGAATGGAACACCACCAATGCGCAAAGCTGCCCTTCGGCAGATCACAGATAAAGCGCGTGAGTTTGGAGCGGGACCACTTTTTAATCAGATACTGCCATTGCTGATGTCACCAACTCTGGAAGATCAGGAGAGACATCTTCTGGTGAAAGTTATCGATCGCATTCTGTACAAACTAGATGATTTAGTGAGACCCTATGTTCACAAGGTGAGAGGCTGCATCATATGTTGGGCATTGTAATGCTTTGGATTTATACTGATGGGTCATAAACATATATGTATAAAATTGTATACTGGACCTTATGTACGTCAACAGTTTTGTTAATTCTGGTAGTGAAAACAAGAGAAATCTATTTCCTCTTCCTACCGTAATTTCTGTGGCACACTGTAGCGTAGTGGTTGAGGGGCTAGGCTACAAGCTGGAAGGTCACGGGTTCAAATCCCGATGAGGTCATTGGATTTTTTTCAGTTTACCTAATCCTTCCAGCTGCACTAGGCCCTGGGGTTTACTCAGCCTCTAACAGAAATGAGTACCAGGAATTAATTAAATAATTTTCCTGGGGAGTAAGGTGCGTAAGGCTGACAACCTTACCGCCATCTTTGAGCCGATTGTCTAGATAATGTGGGACCCTTAACGTCTCACAACCCTATGGGCCTTCACGGCCTGCTACAGGGATAGCTTTACTTACTTTTTTACTTTACCATAATTTCTACTTTATACGAGTCAGTGGACTAAAAGTCTCTTCCCATAGTTCTGCATTTACAGTTTCCTACCCAGTCTTCCCATCCTTCTTGATGTCTCCCAGTATCTAGCCAAACTGTCTTGTTCTAAGTCAGCCCACATGCCTTTTTCATTTACATTACCTTACCCTTCTTGGTATCTTGTTATATACTTCTTTTGTATACTGCTCTCCTTTGCAAGGCTTCAGAAGAACATAAACCTCAGGAAGAAGATAACTCTAGAAACTTGAAAATTATGCATAAAAATGTAATTTTGCAATTTATGCTGCTCTGTATAGACAGAGTTTGAAGTGTTTAAACAAAGTAGGCATCAGAAAATTTTCCTGGGTCTTGCTTTGATGTTACATTTTGTTTTTGCATCAGACCTTGAAGGCCTACCATGTTATTTATAGAGACAAAAACTAATGAGAGTTTGACAAAGGGCACATAATAACATTTAGAAAAAGAGAAAGCTTGAACCAATGAGTGCAAAAGTAAAGTAAGAATTTATTGATAATTCATAGTATACACTATCAGAGAAACTGAATATGTATAATGTGTGATGTGTCTTAGAAAGGGTATATTTAATTATTTTTATTTGCAAGATTTCAGTACCATTTGTTTTTCTAGATTCTGGTCGTGATTGAGCCGCTGCTTATTGATGAAGACTACTATGCTCGAGTGGAAGGTCGTGAAATCATCTCTAACTTGGCTAAAGCTGCTGGCTTGGCAACCATGATTTCAACAATGAGACCAGATATTGACAATATTGATGAGTATGTCCGTAACACAACAGCTAGAGCATTTGCAGTTGTAGCGTCCGCTTTGGGTATTCCCTCGCTGCTTCCTTTCTTAAAAGCTGTGTGTCGCAGCAAAAAGTCATGGCAGGCCAGGCATACAGGAATCAAGATTGTGCAGCAGATTGCAATCTTGATGGGATGTGCAATTCTCCCTCATCTCAAGAGTCTTGTCGAAATTATAGAACATGGTAAGGCAACATTCTGCTCCATATTTAAATGTAATAAGTATAAATTAAGGCAGATACTAATTTTAATAGCCATCACATAAATATATCACATATTTTAATTATATGATTTTATGCTGTTGCCTAAACTGACATTCAGTCAGCCACAATCTCATAAGTCAAGTGTATTTTGTACGTATAATATCCACCAAAACTGCATTGTATTAAACAGTCTCTTCGCAAGGAAAAGCTGTGTGAAGAGAGGGAATTATGTGTGTTGTGTGGAGTTCTTAAAGTTGTTATTTTTTTAAAAACTGTACTCCTTGTCTGAATGCAGTGTCACTGACATAAATCCTTAGTGAAGAATCCAACATACTCGTAAGGTATACCTGTATAGTTAACATGTTTCATATTTGTTTTGTCCAGGTTTGGTCGATGAGCAGCAGAAAGTGCGAACAATCACGGCCTTGGCTATTGCAGCTCTGGCAGAAGCCGCAACTCCATACGGAATTGAGAGTTTTGATTCTGTTCTGAAACCTTTATGGAAGGGTATAAGAACACACAGAGGAAAGGTGAGGTTCTGAGGGTGTGAGAAGACTGATACTCGCATAATCATCTTGAAAATGCTGTTTTTATAATTCAGGTTACTAGTATTTGTTACTGCACTAAGGCCATGGAGAAAAGTCTCATGTCTACTATCGTATTCCCTCCACCAACCGTCTGTAATGCAAACACGTTTTATTTTGAAATGGCCATCATCGGGCAACCATTAATTGATCGAAATTGCTGCACTCCATGGGCTCACATGTCAGTATATTTACATGATATTATTGCATGTTGTCATATTCAAGAATGTACGCCCTCACTTTCCTCATGCTATTTTCGGGTTGTGGTGTTCGTGCTGTGTTTGTTTGTACATAGCTTATGTAGGTGGGGTGTGTGTCCCTTGTATTTCTCATTACAGTGTTAAGTTTATAGAGTTAACTGCCACAGCATTTCGCAGTATAGTTATCCTAATGTCCCTGCTTGAGAGTGAACTGGAACATCAGAGTCAGTCTGTATCCTTTTAAACAATCTTTAATCTATTCAGCTGACTTTTTCTTTCAGATAGGTTAAAAAGTAAGGAGTATGCAAAATTTTAATATCTAATTTAAAGGTTCAATCTTGTAAAGTAAATTACTTTTTTCAGTAAAAAACATTGTTTTGCTAACTGTATATTTACTGTAATGCTAAATAATTGTTTTGTCTACTGGTTTACTAAAACAATTTAAACACTTCTCAATCTCTGCATTGTACTATATTAGAACGTACAGTGACTGGTTTGAGCACACTGCATGTGGCGTATCAGAGGATTAGAGAAATTTTGTAGGTTCTGTCATGATCTGTAATTAATGCTCGCTTTGCATTTGTTTCCAGGGGCTTGCTGCCTTCTTGAAAGCCATTGGTTATTTGATTCCTTTAATGGATGCTGAATATGCAAACTACTATACCAGAGAAGTGATGTTGATTTTGATCCGAGAATTCCAGTCTCCTGACGAGGAAATGAAGAAGATTGTATTGAAGGTGGTGAAACAGTGCTGTGGAACTGATGGTGTGGAGTCACAGTACATAAAGGATGAGATCCTTCCACACTTCTTCAAACACTTCTGGAATCATCGAATGGCACTGGATCGCAGAAACTACAGACAAGTAATTTTGGAATTTCAAGTCGATATGTCATATTTAGCAGACATTTTCATCTATTTTATGTGCAGATGTTTAATAATTTATTCTTGCTCTGATGTCATTTTTGTGAGAGTGTTCAGAATTTTGTTTAACTCAAAACAAGAATATTATCTTACTATATTCATGCAAGCATAAGATAAGATTGCTCTGAATTATGTTCTTCCAAATTTGAATTCAAAATATTACTTTCTGCTTTAGTTATTTTCATGTAGGCAGTTTTCTTGCATGCAAATCTTGGTTACACTGCAAACATCAAACTTTCAGAACCAGAAACTTGAATTTGGGTTACTGGTCACTGGTAAAGAAGTTATGTAGGGTTATCTTCATTTCTGGGAGTGTTCCTATTTGAAGCAGAAAAATATGGGTTAGTGCAGTTGAGAACAGCTCTTGGTACACTGAAATCGTGATTAATGTTGTCCTATTTAGTAAAATCCTGAATTTAGCACATATATTTTCTGGTCCCAAGCAAAGAATGATGTAAACAGTGTATTATTTTTCCATATTTATTGAATTTTGATTTGGTAATAACCCACATTTAGTGTAAGAAACTTTCCGTCTTCCAGAACATATACCGTTGTTTAATGTGATATCTCTCTACCTAAGATCATTCCTGCACATTCTCTGTGCAAATTATGATGGTCAAACATCAAGAATGCTTAAGTGTTAATGTTTGTTACAGCTTGTGGATACAACTGTGGAGATTGCCAATAAAGTTGGTGCTTCTGAGATTATCAACCGTGTGGTTGATGATCTGAAGGATGAAAATGAACAGTACCGTAAAATGGTGATGGAAACCATTGAGAAAATCATGGGGAACCTTGGAGCAGCTGACATAGACTCTCGTCTTGAAGAGCAGCTTATTGATGGTATCCTGTATGCATTCCAAGAACAGACAACTGAGGTAAACAAGGAGTCTGAGCCCTGACAAGAAATAAGACCACCTCATTACATTATTCTTGTAGAATTCGTACTTATTATGTCATGTCCACATTTATGCTAAAACATGCTGTGGAAACACACAGTATTAAAACATCCTGTGGAGGAGGGAAACAATTGTACTGGCAGTGAAACAAACTGTTATTTCCATATTGCACTGTATTTTCAGCTTGTAATATTTGGATGTGGAAGCCTGTAAAGGCTGAAGAAAATGGAGTGGTAGGCATGTCACAAACTTTTGCAGCAGCATCTTATAATTAAAATGAATAATACAAATTTCCACTGTCAGGTGCAAAAAAAAAAAAGTGAAATCTCCTTGGGAGATCGGCTGTGCCATTATTAATTGCATTTCCAGCATTTCAGAGACACTCTGCTTCCATTATGAAGAACTGACTGCCTTAGGATGGGGACTGGCTTTTGTGAACATGGTAATGGAGTCCATGAATTGCTGGATGTTTCTTGATCATGACTCTTTACCTCATGGACTTTGATATGATGTGATATATTGGGGAGAGGGAGAAGCATCAGTGTCTTTTTCTAGCCGTATTGCATTCATAGTCCTGAACTCCTACCCAAGTTGTCCTTAAATGCTGTTTTTAATAGCCTTAACTGATGTATTTTTAGGATGTTGTGATGCTGAATGGTTTTGGTACAATCGTCAATCAGTTAGGAAAACGCGTGAAACCATACTTGCCTCAGATCTGTGGTACCATCCTGTGGCGACTCAACAACAAGTCAGCCAAAGTTCGTCAGCAAGCTGCTGACCTCATATCAAGGATAGCTGTCGTCATGAAGACCTGTCAAGAGGTGAGGTTGCGTACTTCAGCAGATACTTGTTAATATAGAAAGTCTGTTTGAAGCAATTTAATTACTGAATTTACTGTTTCAGGAAAAACTTATGGGGCACTTGGGTGTTGTGTTGTATGAATACTTGGGTGAAGAGTATCCAGAAGTTCTGGGTAGCATTCTTGGGGCACTCAAAGCCATTGTGAATGTCATTGGCATGACAAAAATGACACCACCCATCAAGGATCTTCTTCCACGACTGACGCCTATTCTCAAGAACAGGCATGAAAAGGCAAGATATATTTTTTCATGTGGATGCTCACCTAAGTTAAACCTTGACACAATGACACTGGAACGTCATTCAGTCTGACAAATGTTTCAATAAGTCAGTTCTGCTGCAGTTTTTAGTTCATTTTTTTTTTTTATTATTATTATTATTTTCTAACTAGCTCGATTATATTGTTATATGCTTCATCATATAAACATTCTGCACTTGTGACATTTATTGTGTGGACATGAAGTATCATAAATTGATTCATTCTGTCACCCCCCCCCCAGACAAATTTTGTGTTTTGTTTTGTCAGTTGTCTCACTTCTTGTGCCTCTGTTTATGGTCATAACATGGTTATGTATACCAGCAGGCTCTGTATCTATTTGGATTCTGTAAATATGAAATCAAGTGTGTTTGGTATCTTGAGGGTAAGAAGTCACTGAATTTGAAGTAGATTATATCTCTCTTTGGAATAAACTGCAGTCTATGTATTTTTCATGCACCAAATTGTGGATTGTTGACCATTCTGATGCCTTTGCTAAAGATCAATAATTCACTTCTGAACTGGTAGAAGGACCCATGATGTTTTGAGAAGATGCTTGATTGTTAATCTCTTGTTTAGGTCCAAGAAAACTGTATAGATTTGGTTGGTCGTATTGCCGACAGAGGTCCAGAATATGTATCTGCTCGAGAGTGGATGAGAATATGTTTTGAACTTCTTGAGTTGTTGAAAGCTCACAAAAAGGCCATACGAAGAGCTACAGTCAACACATTTGGTTACATTGCCAAAGCTATAGGGTGAGTAAGCATTTCTGTGACTGGTTATTTTGCATCATACTGCTAAAATGCTGACATTTAACTGCTAGCAATTAGAAAACTGATATGATTATATGTGATGCTATTTCCATGAAACAATATGATTTAAATCAATTGCAAATTGTGTGTATGAACTTAATTTTTCTTCTCTCTCTGTTTAGTCCACATGATGTACTGGCTACACTGCTGAATAACTTAAAGGTTCAGGAGCGTCAGAATCGTGTATGCACAACTGTGGCCATTGCTATTGTAGCTGAGACATGCTCCCCATTCACAGTTTTGCCAGCCCTTATGAATGAATATAGAGTTCCAGAACTGAATGTTCAGAATGGTGTTCTGAAGTCCTTATCATTTTTGTTTGAATACATTGGGGAAATGGGCAAGGATTACATTTATGCTGTTACACCACTGTTAGAAGATGCCCTCATGGACAGGTATGTATGAAGTGGGATCTCTGTTGCAATAAACATTTTCTTCATAATGGTACACAAAATGGATTTTAGTTGTATGTTGAGGGAACCTGATCAAGGAGGAATGCAAAACTTTAACCCTTGAATGACGGCTTCATTATACATTGTGATCATTTTAGGACTTCCACAAACCGTTGAGCCTTTCAGGCAAAAGAATTGGATGTTCGTTTCATCACATTGGGCCATGAAGATGTAGACTGAAAGTAGAACCATCCATCTTTTGCCTAACATATTGAAAATCCAGGTCAATTCTAAAGGCTGCTGATGATATGTTACACTCAGGTTCACTGTGTTTCTGAACTTTGCTTATCATCCCATATTCTGAAGAATTCTTGCAGAATGCAAGATGGTGAACAGTGTCCAGAAATTCTGTAATTTAAAAAACTTAGCAGGGTTATGGCAGATGCTGGAAATGCTCTGTTGTTGTCATTTGATGTTTTTCTGATGGTCCTCCCTTGTTGAATCGTCAGATTGAATGATCAGTGAGTGCCCAGGTTAAGCAACATGGACTGAGTATGCCCAGTGTTTGTCTGGCAGTCCACAATTGGACAGATACTGGGATCCAAGCACATACTCTTCGGTTGTAAGTGCAGTATTTGTCCACGCCACTCCTCAGCTTCATCCCTGATGATGGAGGTAGTCTCTGAAAGTTTGAATGGAACTCCTTCACACAGCTGATGGAGAGGAGTTCATGGTATAGTCTTTAAGAAGGCTTCAGATCAATTAATGATAACATGTTTAGATGTTTTAAGATAGCTGCAGTTTTGTACATAAAATAGTTAATTACAGGAAACTGGTTCTTTGGTGAGGAGGGAATGTGTAAAAGCAGATTACTTAGAGAGGAAGAAGCTATACTTGATGGACACATCAGTTGGGGTCATAAAACACTAACTGCTTGAATCCACAAAGATGGTAACGTAAAGTCTCCTGTAGTAGGAACTTCTTGGTTTGTGGGAGAGGAGAGGGGGTTAGTTAACACTGTCAATATCTTAGACTATGTAGCATCAGAAAGTACTTGTTAATGCATCTCTTAGTTCAACAGCAAGATTTCTCAGTTTTTGAAGTCCACACAGCAGTGGAATATTTTAACAATATGACATAGCACTGTGTTGTATTTCTTTCAGAGACCTTGTCCACAGGCAGACTGCTTGTGCGGCCATCAAACACATGGCTCTGGGTGTGTATGGATTTGGTTGTGAGGATGCTCTCATACATTTGCTGAACCATGTGTGGCCTAATATATTTGAGACATCGCCACATCTTGTGCAAGCTTTCATGGACTCAATTGAAGGCCTTCGTGTTGCTTTGGGACCAAATAAAATACTACAGTATGTGTTACAGGTGAGTTCATATATTTTTATGTATTGTATTAGTTGATCAGAACATTGAAATTCTTTTATGAGAGAATAATCCATTTACTCAATTCAGCCATTGCATTCATGTGGAATGTATTTTACACCAATAATGATAGACCTTCAGTTGAACTGAAGTAATGTCATCTTTTACTTTGTTGTTTTAATATTGTTGCAGGGTCTTTTCCATCCTGCAAGGAAAGTACGTGACGTATATTGGAAGATCTATAATTCTCTGTATATTGGTGGACAAGATGCATTGGTTGCTGGTTACCCTAGGATACTTAATGATCCCAAGAATCAGTATTGCCGCTACGAGCTGGATTACATTATTTGAAGAACTGTATATAAATTATTAATTTAAACTGCTGTAATTTACTTTTGAGCACCTTAGTTGTACGTGAAATAGTACATTCTTTTTACCTCTTGATGTCAAGTGCGGGTGTGCATAGCCCATTTATGAACATTCACACCAGAATTAAATCATATTTACTTACAAGAACGGTGCTCCTGGAGGAAGACTCTTACGTTACAAACACTTTGGAATTATTTTTATTCAGACCAGCACAGTGACTGTGCTCTCAAACCCTAGTACAGTAATGACACTTAAGACAGAATATTTGATGTTTCTTCATATGCATAATTTTTCCTTGTCTTTATATATTGTCACCTTCTAAGCAAAATTATTGAAGTTAGATGGTAAATAGGACTGTTTTCTTGGGGCTGTAATGACAGTACTACAGTAAAGCCTACTAACATGGAGCAGAACTTACAATTCTGTCCTCTTCTTCAGTTTGCATTTTGCAGAATTTGTAATTATGTTGCCCATCCCATGTAAATTGGCCTATATTTGCCATTTAAAACAAAGCAATTTCTCTCTGCATTCCAAGTGTCCTTTGACATGTTGCAGACCTTAGTTATTCTCATATCCTCCTTGCAGATGATGGAGAAATCTTGGGTAACACGTTCAGAATAAAAAAATATGGCATCACATAGCTTTTGTATGGAAGTTGTAATGTAATAGATTGCTTGTGTACTTTGTCCTACATTTACAGGCAGTGGATTGTTAAATATTGAATTCTTGGTAATTATCTTAATTGTCATAGTTATTTCTGCCATTCTGTCCTCTTATAGTGCTAGGATTGAGTGGTACAGATCCATTCCAATGTTCAGAAGTTGTAAAACTGATCTTGCCTTATGTGTTGGTCCTGAGATGCCTCCCTGTCATTTGGGTTTATATAAGTACATTAATTTTTGTAGCATATTGCCTTGTTTCTTTATTTCCACCATATTATAAGTTTGCAGCAGATTCTTAATTTTTTTTATTTGGTATGCTGTCTTTTAAAGTAACTCTTAGCAATGATCTAAGAAATCTCATATGTAGAGCTCCTATGTTGACTTCCCCGCAAACCCCTCTTCCTCCTCCTAAACTAAGTTTCATTTCCAAAATGTGTGGCTTATATGTTGCATTATATAGTCATAATATAATGTATTTTATTTTTAAAACTTGTATTCATTATTCCATTTACTCAGTTGCATGCATACATGTGCCATCTTTATTGCATATTTCCATGTAAGTAATTAGGTTTCTTAATTTTGGATATGCATTCTGTAATATAACCATATATACTACCTATTTTCATTTGTGTCCACTGTTTTCTTTATGTTTCCATTCCTATAATTTTTATTTCTGAAAATTTACAAGCAGCTCTGTTTATTTCACTCAGTAGTTATCACTGTCTTATTTTCTGATGTTGCGAACGGAATTTGATCATTACCATACATCGAATTTGTGATTTTGTGTTCCTTTGACATATCATTTTCTTTAGATTATCTCATGTTCCATTACTCTTTATTTTATTCATATACAGTATATGTTAGCTATTCCTGTAATGGGCCTGGGAGACCCATAAGGTTGTGGGATGTTGAGGCTCCCACATTTTTTAGTCAATCCTTCCACCCTCACTGTGTCCCTGGGTTCAACTCAGCCTGTAGCAGAAATGAGTACAAGGAATCTTCCTGAGGGTAAAAGGCAGCCAGCCGGTGCATGAGGCTGACATCCTCACCACCATCTGTGAGCCAGTTGTGTAGAAAATGTGGGAGCCTTGACATCACACTACCCTGTGGGCTTCCACAAGGGATAGCTTTACCTTTTACCTTTACAGTATATGTTAAATCAGACTGTAGATTGTCCCATATTACTGTTTGTGTTATGATTAAGGAGACCGGGATATGCCCATTCCCAAGGTTATATCCAGGCTGGTGCCCATAATGTGTGGCTGCTCACACTCGGCAGCAAAACCATAAATATAAATAACATTTAGAACAGCAAATTTTGGCAAATGTATGGTCTAAGTTTACTTTGGGATGGCAGATGACCCAAAAATTATTACTCATTAAAGACATGACTTGCTAGAGATGTTGGTATTTTGATTAATGTAGTTTTATTGTATTGCTGTCATACCTGTCCAGATTTCTTTTTGCAGTACACTAGCACTTCATAGTATTTTATGGTAAAGAAAGGAGTAGCCAACAATCTACATGTATATCCAAGGAATCAGAATGTTAGCTGCACTGTCTTATTGCCAGAAAAGAACTGCATGCTCAGAGTGTATTCTGAAAGATATTTTGTTTGTACTATTGTACCTTGGTCCCTTATGGCAGTCTGTAGGAATAAGTGGTAAATAAACAGCCTTGGAAATGGAAGTGAAAGGGTTAACTTGCTATAGTCACATTTTTGGTTTCTGAGACTCCCAAGTAAAATATTTCAGCTGGAATTTATATTGAACATATGCAGCCTTATTTTGTTTTTAGTATTATCTTAGAAATAAATCATTTCCTATTGTATATTATTTCCTTCTGTATACAATCTAATTTGATGCTACGTCTTAGACTAAAAAATGTGGCTTTGTAATATTGAAGCTAATGTCATTGCTGAATGCAAAGAAGAGTGGTAGTGCAGTATTTTCTTGTAGTTCTTAGTGCATTTTAGTGGGGCATGTACTAAATTAAAATACTGCTTTTATTTCTTCTGTTCTGATATTATTATGTATTCCAACAGTGGTTTTCTTTATATTGAACGACAGAGTAATTGGAATTGTGTGACAAATAAACTGAAACTGAAAAATCCCTGCCCTGTAGTTACTTGATATGTACGTTCATGGTCTGAAATGTGGCACCATAACATTTGGTAGCTGGGTGTTTCGAATGTTGGTATCCAATTCCCTAATTACTTGTTACATCCTGCAACACCATAATTCTGATACTGGCATAACAACCTAAAATCTCAGACTGTATATCAGTTTCAAGTTGGCTGCAAACTTATTCATGACCCTGACTGTTTATTTGTCTATAGTGAAACTTTGCACATTAGACAGACATTGCAGCCCAACAACCAGACAATGACTTTCCTAGAATGACACTTGGAGCAAATGGTTAAGGCAACCCACTTTGTTCAGATATACTCGTAGAAGTGAACAGAAATGCCTCATTTGAAATTGCTCAGTAGTGTTTATATATGACATTCTGATCTGCAATAGGCAATATTATATTTTCACTTGTCTGCTTTTAATGGATATGGATGTTTATGAAATGGGACCCCCACCTGGCAAAGAATTAGAGGGGCATTCTGTGTCTGCAGCCCCTCATGCTCTACTGGCACACCAGTGCCTCCCAGTGGTGACTTGTGCCACTCTATTTCCCATCTGTCAGCTGTGGCAAAAACAGACCATTTAAGCGCAATGATTCTTTCATTCATCCTTGGCCCATTTGGTTCACTCAGGACTCCCTACCATATGTCCATACCGCTTTTCCCATGCTTGGCTTTCTCTTTGTCCATGAACATTATGTTCCTCCAAAACAATAGTAGACTTTAACACGAGCACAGTATCACATCTTGTAAGATAGTGTTCTTACTGCTGTATGAAATCTGATTGAATTTGAAGTAGCAGTAAAAGTAATTTGGTGCAAAATATATCTCTAATAGAAGTATAAATAGAGTTGGTGCCATCACGTTAACAAATGGTTTGTATTGTTAAGTTCACAACATACTTTGGCCCATGTAGGCCATCATGAAGAAATCTTGAGGAATACACAACTGTTCACAGGTTACATAAACTACAATGCTAGTACGGAATTTGTTGGTTAACCTTCGGTGTGTCAGATCCTACTTAATTCTATACAAACATTACATTTTAACTTAAAATTCAAACATTCATATTACAATTTTAACAATATTCAAAATTACAAATTAATCGGAGGCATTGCAGGAGGAAATCCCTTTGAACATGTTGTCTGATGGTTCCAGTTATTTTTATGTTGCTGGATCTTTGTTTTTTGTGAGGAGGTTTTTAGTTCCAGTGGTAACTCTAGTAGGCTGCTAATGGGCCTATGGAAACATAACAAAGCACAGATCTCATATATATAAAACGTTTTTACACTGTGTACTAAGCAAGATAAAAAATAGGTTCTATGCATGCATGCCTGTTAACATTGCTTATTTAGCCTTGTCTGTAATGTAACTTACAGAGCAGAATCTGTATTGTTGATTAGCTCTAAGATCAGGTAGAGTATCATGATAGCTAAAAACTTATGTGGAAAGTATATTCAAATGTTGTGCCTTGCATGTGTTCTGTATAATGTACTAAAAAATTAATTGCATGTAAGGAGGCAAACACCATCTGCCCCCAAATCGGTGAAAATATAGTATCATTAAATCTATATAGCAAGACTACAAAATTTGGTATACTTATATATTCTTTGAAAGAAAGAATCCAATCATAAAATGGCATGGAAATTATGCAAAGCTTTCAAGGCTTCTGAATGCAAGCTGGAAGCCTATAATGATGTTCCCTACTGGTAATTAAGAACAGAATCTAATTTAAATTTTGTTTAACTTTTAATTCCTTTCCAGCCACTTATCCAGTGTATAACAAGATAAAAGCAATTTACCACTCAGCCCCATCTCCTGGAAAGGTTAACGTTGTGTTGAGTTCTGTCGAGTCTTCCCCATACATCAATACAGCTTGGTTTTTCAGCACAGGGTAAATCGTTACGTCTTTCTTATGGAAGGAAAATAGCCTTATGTCACCACGATCTCTTGGTGTCCCGATTCAACCAGATAACAAATTGTAATGGAATAGAATGGTATATAAACACTGTGTCATTAAATTCCTCAAGCAGCTGAGTTTCATGAAACTTACGAGCATTGTACCACTGGAGGCAATCCAAAATTAGTACTTCATAATTTTGTACAATTGGTAATAACATGATTGACACTGAAACTGTAAGGTTGTAGTGCCACATTGTTGGTAATATGGTACGGTTAAATTAAAATGTATGTTGGCCACATGCTTTTTGAAATGTTCAATATAGCTTTCGTATGAAACGAAATTTTGAGTGATTTTGAGGTTATGTCCCAAAGTTCAACTTTGACAAAATCATTTCGAAGAATACTGATACCACTACTACTACTACCCTTACCTTTACAAACTAATTATTTACAGTAATATGCAACAAAAATTCGCCTCTGGTACGATTTAATTCTCTGCCAGTCTGTAATCAAATACAGCACGAAAACCCATCAACAAAATTGCATTTTGAAATGTACATTGCCTGAAAGACATAAAAAACAAGGTTTTTACGACCAAAGTTTGTGCAGTAGGACAGTAAGCAATATGAATACTTCCCCTAATTCTTTGTTTAAGTTACATATTTACCGACCTAACACATTGCCCACCTTAAATCTAAATATATCCAAATTACGACGAATATTTGGTGGAAATCATTAGAGTTTTATGAGCTTTCAGTGTCTGATTTAACGGAAACAGTCGTTCGTCCCTCCTTCGTTTTGAATACGGAAAAGTGCAAGGAAAATTCGTAAGTAACCAATGGGATATTTCATGGATCACGCATACTCTGACACTCAACATAACAAGAAATTGCAAGGAATGGTAGTAATTTGCTACTGGAAATAATAAGAAATTGAATTATACTTGTATCAGTAATTATTTCGGATCTAAAACATGACAGAGATTTGAAAAGAGACATTTCATGTATGACCTGCGCAGTAAGTTCATATCTATCGCTGTACATCTTTGCTGGTGGTTACCGGTGGTTATCATGGTCGATATACATACTTTTGAAGCGGGTTAAATGTCAATAAATTTGAAGTGTTGAGAACTATTGATTTGTTGCGATATTTAATTAATAAATGGCAGATAGTAGAGCATTTGATAATCCGTACGATGATTTTGTGCCACACAGAGAGAACGGATGTTTTGATTTGACAAATGGAAAGGTTTGTAGTTAAAGCTGCATGAAGAGCAGAAACATTCGGAACTCAAAAAAGATAACCCTCAACTGAATAAAGATATGCTGTGTACACCTCAAAATTTCATATTTTAAATTTTTAAAGACTGGAGTCAGGATCCTTAACACCAGTATATACTACATAATCACATTCCTCAATGTGAGAGGAACCAACATCGTGGACACTGCGGTATCGCAGATGTGATTTGGAGCTGGTATTGTATTTGGAACTGTGGCATTGACTATAAATTAGTGTATTGTCACCACTGATTCTGTTACATTTAGTAGCATCACTTGGATAATAAATAAAACTGCATTTCAAGAACAGGTTACAGTGCACATTGTGGTTCAAGTCCATCTGAGCTAACCAAGCCAGGCAGGTGCAGTTTTATGGGATCACAGAATGCCTAGAATGTGCTATATTTGGGACATTAACTTGTCTCACCCACATTCACACACATGACTCAATACATTCACTCCCAATCCCATCACCTGACAGATTGATGTTTAATGTGTGCTAGTGCTAATATTATCAGATGGCATGGCAGGCTGTTGTTCTTGTATATGTAAATATAATTTTCTCCTGTAGATGTCACTGAAATGCAAATAAATTTTAAGCACAGAGTATTGAAGAATAAAAGAATGGAAATGTATAATGATTGTAGAGAGCTTTGCACATTCAGACCAGCTCTTTCTAACGGGCCCAACTGAGTAGGTTTTATCCTTCCCTACCCACCTGAAGATGGAGACAGATCCAGTCTCCGAAACGTCGTGGTCTTTTGTCTTTTACATACCAGACAATGGATGAAGTCCAAAATAAGCCAGAAGACGTACAGTATACACCATCGTCAGAATCCTTTCAAGTCTATTTTCTTTTTTTGTTGTTTTTGTAAATGTGGTACATTCAGAATCCAGTTTTTATGGGAAAATGCATAGTATAACATGTAAAATTCCAGTGGCTGTGAACGTGTTTGTATGAGGAAAACAAAAACAACCAAATTTATAGAATTTGAGATGTTTATGAAGAGTTTTGTCTTCAACCAAATTATTTTTATGCGAAACAAGTATGCAGCCATATAAAGTAGCTCCTAGGTTATTTAATGCTCATTTACATTACTTCCACAGATACTTCCAAAGTTTCAAGAGAAACTGCAGTTTGCTGTAAATAAACTGTTATCAGAACTTGAAACCCAACTGCATGAGAGCAACAGCCATGATTATTCAGTCTACACTGGAACATCTGGAATAGCCCTTCTGTACTTGCTGCTGAGTAAGAGACTCAACAGCTCCACATATGCAAAAGTAAGATTCCAAGGAGTTTCATGTATGCAGCTTAGAAGAAAGGTCAGGAAGCAGTGGTTACATGAACTGTTGTTTTCCAGAGGGCACTGGATATGGCAGAGAGAGTGCTTTCAAAGCTCAAGAATCATCGTGTAAGTTATTTGAATGGAGATGCAGGTCCTCTGGCGATTGGTGCTGTCCTATATCATACACAGGGTGCAGAGGCAAAATCACAGCATTGCATTGACAGGTATATTATGATCTGTTATATGTTATTTAACTGTAATGGAACATGTGTTTTGTTTCATTTTACTTGTTCATGTAGCAGTTTCAGAGCTTGGAATATGCAGCATCAAATGATGAAATGGGTAGCATGCATTGAATTGAAAAGGATATGGAAGAAAGTGATTGTGGCCCAGCATTCATGTGGAGGGACTGAGGGAAATTATGAAATCCCTCAGAATAATCAGTGTCCTGGTCAATATTCAAACCAGGCACCTCCCAAATATAAGTGAAAAGCATTGTCATTTGAGCAAGCTTGCTTGTTAGGCTCATATAACTTTACTGAGTTACCTTGCAATGCAGGAGACAAACAATGAAAGCTATGTGATTGAAAATAATGTAATATGTAACTTACGTTTGATTGATTTTGCAGTGAATCCTGAAAGTATTTGTGGTGGAAGATTCTTCTCTCAGTTTTGTAATTTTTCTCCAGTAAAACTGATCAAATTAGGACAGCATAAAATTAACATTATGGTGTTCTGGATTCCAACTTTTTCCCAAAAAATGTTATTTCTGATTGTACCCCTTCTTTTTCCTTCATTATTTCTTAAAACTTGGGGCTCACAGTAGTATAGTTGATTGAGGCACTGTGCTACAGACTGGAAGGTCGCAGGTTCTATTCCCAATGAGGTCATTGGATTTTTCATTTGACCTAATTCTTCCAGCTGCACTATGGCCCTGGGGTTGACTCAGCCTCTTGAATACCAGGAAGGGGTAAAGGGCGACTGGCCAGTGCGTAAGGCCGACAACCTTACCTCCATCTATGAACCAGTTGTCTACATACACACAGCCATTGCTTGGGTTTTGATTTGTTTCTCTCTGTAAGGGCCCATATTACAGCCTTCCATGTTAAGATCAGTTTAATATGTACTTTATGGATTGTTGTCTGGCATTGTTTTGAGATCTCTCTGTTCCATAATAATATTTGCTTTATAATTTTATGAAATTTATAACTTTTTTGCATTTTTATATTATAGTATTTAATCTGAAGCATTACAGAGTCAAACTGAATATAATGTTTCATTTCACTGTCCTGTTCCCTTTTAGGTTGAAAAAGATGTTGCCACAAGTATTAAATGTGAACTCAGATCTGCCTGATGAGATATTGTATGGACGAACAGGTTACTTGTTTGCCCTTTTGTACATAAACAAATGTCTTGGAAGAGACAGTATAGATTCTGAAAGTATGCAACAGGTGAGACACTGAACTATCATTGTCAGCCATCTTTTATACAACAATAAATAATATAAGGATATAAAAATATAATTTAAATGTTTGTGAATTACATGTTTTTTACTGAATTTGGTACATGCTTAGGATACAGTTACATCAGTAACTGAAGGTAAAAATAGAACTACACAGTATGACTAATGAACGACATTACAACAGCTGACCCACAGCTTTCACTTTATAGTATTAATGCTGAGAGAACAGAGATGTGCAGACACCAGTATTTGAGTACTTCATAAATTTGCTGTAAACATGGTTTCTCATATATGATTATCTACTAAACCTGAGAAAGCATACCCTACCATTCAGAAAGAATTCACAGAGGGAGGTAGATAGTGCTATCTGTAAATTTATTGTATACAAGGTGTCCCAGGAGGAATGGACCAAACTTCGGGAGGGTGTTCCTTATGTTAAAGTATGCCGATATAACCCAAAACACCTATGTCCAAAGTTGAACGGTTACGGAGATAATGGTCCAAGAGAAGTGTGGTCTTCTGGCAGGTCCACGCACTGTACCTCTCAGCTGAGAGGCCTTATCTGTGTTTGTCCTTGAGTGCGATGATTCACCCTAGCCGTGCTTATGTAGTTGGCTCATACCAGAACGCGCAGTCAGCACGTTACGTCAGCGTTTGCCATTCATGTGTCATGTATAGTGCTTGGAAACCCTAAGGACAATTATGACATGGCGAGCGAGTATTTCGTACTTCAATTTTATGGCTTCACGTCACTCACAAGTTAGTTTGATGTTACGTACATTATTAACATTACAGAATCCACATATTCCTGCCAGTTTTAATATGTATTTTGTAATCAACAAGCGTGTAACACCTGTCAAAGTTTGACACTTCTCTGGCCATTATCTCCGTAACCGTTCAACTTTGGACATAGGTGTTTTGGGTTATATCGACATACTTTATCATAAGGAACACCCTCCCGAAGTTTGGTCCATTCCTCCTGGGACACCTTGTATATTCATTATTTTCTTATAGTAATGAATGAATATACATATGTAATGTAGAATGTGTGAGTTCTATAAATTAATGAACCTCTATCTACGGTAAGTTTAAGAGTTTTCCAATACTTTAAATGTAAATGCAATATATTTAATGTGGGACAATCTTTTGCAACCCTGTCTGTTAAGAGTTATTCTTTTAATTGACATCAAGTAAACTGACAGCCTTCATTGTGCCCAATGGTCTAAAGTTATGTTGTTTTCGTGGCATTTTTATCAAAATTTATAAGTCTAATATGAAATTAATGGGGTATTTAATAATTCTGTATTGAGTGCAGAAGTTTTTAGTATGAAATGAAATGAGAAGATGTTTATAACTGAAATGTTTGGGGAGTATTATGTAACTGCTGCTTATGGCCTTGAATAAAACCTTTAAGTGTTACTGCAGATATGCTAAGGCCATGGAAAGAAGTTCTGGGGATGGTGAGAATGATGATTCTGGAGGCTTTCTAAACTCTGCTTATTGCTGTATCCAGCCCCTTCTGGTCTTATCAATCACCCAGAAATGTTTGTCACCACTACCAACATCTGTGTGAACAGAATATCTAGATGAATGTATGGGAATAGAGGGAAATAGGGGGAAATGTAACAGCCCAAGATAGATGTGGAAGGGGTTGATCCATGGAACTTTTTTCTGTAGTTTCATTATTGATATCATCTTAGGTGGTGACAGCAGTCCTCCGCTCAGGACAAAATCTTGCTAAACAGGAGGGCAGAAATGTACCTCTCATGTACATGTGGCATGGGAAATATTACCTGGGAGGTGCACATGGCATAGCAGGAATCCTCTACATGTTACTTAAGGTAAAACCGGCCTAAAATAGAAATCTTTCCCATGACCTTGTAAAGCACTGAAACTGGATAGAGGAACTGTACACTTTGTCTCCTTTCTTGTAACGATTACCATTACAGTTACATAACCAGGCACCTGTGAAGTTATTTTCAGATTTGAAATCATTTTGTTGTATTGTACTTTGATAGAACTGTCATTTCATTCCACAGTTCAATCCAAGGATCATTATCAAGGCCGTATGTTACACAATTACATAAAATATTATAGGTTATATATTGTAACGTGTTTCGTTACTGAATACACCGTAGAGATTGTTAATTGGTTTATTTAACAACCTACAAATCTCGGCTACAATTAATTATAACAAAGTTGCGGGGTTTCACACTTTATAACCCTATTCGCAGTATTCAATTCACTCTATTGTCAGTAGTCTACATGTTTCACAGTACGGGAGCTATACAAGTGTCACTGTGTTACACACTCCCAATTAATTCTCAGTTATCACAAACTGTCACTGATTATCACACTTTTACTCGTTCACTGCTCACTGGAGAACTGTCTTCGGCGACTGATACACCTTTAACTAACTGCGACAACTGAACTCGGCGACGGCCACATTTCCTCTTTGGCCGCTGATACACTTTAACTCCCTCCGGGGACGGCTACAAGTTAACTCCTGCGGCGGCTGTGTATTTCCCTTATATAGTCGCAGCGCTTGCCTGTTACGTAATCGCACCGCTGTTGCCTCACACCGTGTTACGTCACCACACGTTGCGTGCCTCGTCACAGTAGGAAGTGGTGCCGCGTAGCCCAGGGGGGCTACGTCACCATGGCCAGAGCTGCCATGTCACTGCCGGCGGGGGGGAGGGGTCCTCCATTGCGCAACATGTCACAATATATATAAATCATTTTAGATATAGTTTAAAAACAAAAGGTGTAGCCAGGATAGCTGAGTCAGTATAGAGATGAGCTACAGACTGGATAGCTGGGGTTCAATTCCCAGCAGGGGTAAGAGATTTTTCTCTACTCCACAGTGTCTGGACCGGCTCAGGCCCACCCAGCTTCATATCCAGTAAGTACCAGGGGCTCTTTCCTCAGGAGCGAAGCAGCCAGGGCATAAACTGACCACTCACCTCCATCTAGTGTTGAGGTCAAGAATGGAGGGGCTATACCTCTGCTCCTCAATACATCTTAATGCCATATTTTATTAATTAAGCACAAGGGCAACTTTACCTTTCGAAAGAAATGTTTTTCATGGGACCCTTTTTTAAAACTAAAATAATATTTGTCTCTGCATTAAATTGTACTACAAGTACATTATGCATTTCTGTTTATTTTATATAAATGCAAATGTAGCATCTCTGGTGCAACAATAAGATTTGAGAGAACTATTTCAAAGTGTGATTGCATATTGGCTATGTGCAGAACTTGTGGTCTGTACTGCATCGTGGCAACTTGCATTATCCCACTGTATGTTTCATTGTTACCATACAAGTGGTTTCTCCTACATGTCCAATAATCCACAGATCACCACCAGACTTACACAGAACGCTCCTCAGATCTGAGGGACATATAAATTTATATATACAATAGAACTTCACATAGAGAAATGGGGTCCTGTTGAAGTCAGAATGTTTTATAACCTGATGGTGTTTATATTGTGTGCAGGCCAAGGACTACATGACTGAATCCGAGCTCAATAATTTGGTTCGCCCAACAATTGACTATCTGCAAGGAATTCGCTTCCCTTCTAATAACTTCCCTTCATCACTGGGCAACAACACTGACAAACTGGTACAGTGGTGTCACGGAGCCCCTGGCGTTGTGTTCCTGTTTGCTGAGGCTTACAAGGAAAGTTGCTAGGAAGTTTGTACTGTTTTATGATCACCCCTCACAAGAGGACATGTGATGATGTACATGTAGAATTCTATAAACATTTCCTCCCATTTAAAAATCGTGAGCAAATGATGGTGCATATTGATGCATACTAATTTGCTCAATGAGCTCAATAATTTGGTTCGCCCAACAATTGACTATCTGCAAGGAATTCGCTTCCCTTCATCACTGGGCAACAACACTGACAAACTGGTACAGTGGTGTCACGGAGCCCCTGGCGTTGTGTTCCTGTTTGCTGAGGCTTACAAGGAAAGTTGCTAGGAAGTTTGTACTGTTTTATGATCACCCCTCACAAGAGGACATGTGATGATGTACATGTAGAATTCTATAAACATTTCCTCCCATTTAAAAATCGTGAGCAAATGATGGTGCATATTGATGCATACAGCCACTTGTTCAGGAGCTGCCACCATCCTAAAACTTAGAAAAATAAGTTTTATGAATGCTGGGAAATGTTTATATTTCAGGTTACCATAGCAACACAATTTCAAGCATTAACATGCACGAATTTGCTGTGTTGTATATGATTTCTTTCATTTCCCAGACTTTTGTATTCGCAGCAAGAATTGGTGACAGTAAGTCAATAATGATCTCTACTTGTGTCGTAAAGTCAGGCTTCTGTAGGGAAACTGACAGATTTCTTACATTTACATGTTATTTTTTCTGCACCAGGTGTTTGGCCATGATCAGTACCTCCAAACAGCACTGAAGTGTGGTGATGTAGTGTGGAGACGGGGGTTACTTACAAAGGGTTACAGCATTTGCCATGGAGTAGCTGGAAATGCATACACATTCCTTGTGCTTTATCAGCTAACTGGGGTAAGACAAGACAAGAAAAATTTCTTCCACCACTCTGAGATGATTCCTTCATTGGTATCCCATAAATTGTAAAGTCTGCTTAGAGGGCAATAACTTGTGAATTATTAGCATGTTTTGTTTCAAGCACTTTTCATGCGAAGAGTTCCAAAATACTTTATATAAACGTCCAAATAATAAGTAAATACTAAATTTACAATTACATCTGCAGGATTTCAAACATCTTTATCGAACCTGCAAATTCACAGAATGGTGCATGTCTTATGGGAAACAGCAGCATCTTTCACCTGACAGACCATTATCACTGTTTGAAGGTACGAAAAATTATGTTTCCTGTTTCAGCTGCAGTATTAACTAACAGACTTAACTACATGTAACGTCCTAAGATAACAGTCTTTTGCGGTGTGACACTATGTAGTTTGGTAGCAGGTACCAACATTTCAGAGACACTTGCTTCCTCCTTCTGCTCTTTAGACGGCAGCCAGATTTTAACTTTGTAAACAGTGTAGCACTACATGTGCCATACCCACACATGCCATCATAGTGGTGTGACGTGTTAAAGGTAAAAAGAGACGAAGGGTACGTACATTAATTTATTAGAGTCCATGATCTTAATTGCCAGATCTTGCATAAATATAGAATTTTGCATGTATTAAATTAAACTGCTTTCCTGCTCAGTATTTATTCCATGTGGAAGAAACTGTATGCTGTCTTCTTCAACAGGTGTTTCCGGAGCAATTTATTTCCTGGTGGATATTCAAGAACCTAAGCAGGCAAAGTTTCCTGCATTTGGATTGTAGTGTATTTGATGGCTGTACTGTAATTAAAGTACCTGAAAAGCTTATAATTTGTTTCCATTGTGCAATCCCTTAACTGTTTGTCCTGAAGATAAGATTACCTGTAATGAGCATTTTCCCTCCAACTTCAGTATACATCTCTTTTCTGTAGATCAGTACCTCTCAGATATGACACTGTGTAGTCCAGTAGAAGTTCAATGACTGAATTGCTTTCATGTACAAGCAGATGTGTAGACCACTATGAAATTTACCAGGAAATTCATGCAATCTTTATTAGTGAAATTAAATATGTGAACAGTAGTATTGAATGACTGTGATGTTTAAAACTGATTCATATGTAGTTTTTTAATTGGTTTGTCAACATGAAACAGTCAAAATCAAAACAAGCTAAAACTGAAGCTAGCCTGATTTACTCTTCACAGTAGAAATTTTGGAATGAAACTGATTCAGAAGGAAAACCACACTGGAGATATCAGCGGAATACAAAATACTGAAATGCTGAAGATGATCAAGTTATAGAAAAAATATTATGGAACAGAAAGATCAGAAAACAATTTAGGAAGTATATTTTAAATAAACAGTAACATAAGGCTGAAATATGGACCCTTACAAAGAGAAACAAAAGCAAAATCTAAATAATGGATATGAAATTTTTTAGAAGTACTGAAGGAAGAACAAGGATAGAATTACAAATGAAATTTTTGGAGAAGAAAATGGTAAAGATAAGGTTTCCCCCTGTGCTTAATTAATTAAGGGCTACACCATGAAGGCTTATGGGGAAGTGGACGTATAGATCCACATTTCCTTGACCTTGCCACTGCTGGAGGTGAGTGGTCAGCTTCACAACCTTGCGACTTTACCCCTGGGGAAAGAGCCCCTGGTACCCAGTGGATAGGAGGCTGGTTGGACCACATGGCAGGTCTGGACAACGTGAAGAAGGAAAATTCTTGACCCTACTGGGGCTTGAACTCCAACCTCTCAGTTGTCCAGCCCATAGCCAGTCGCTGTACTGACTACACTATCACTGCTCAACAGTTAAGACGATATGACTGCAGTAATTTAGTCATTAAAAAGAATGGATATGGAATGATGGGACATCAAGAGATAAACCTGGCAAGAAATCGCAAAAGAAGACTGTGGAAAGAGAGAACAGATCAGTGACTTTTTGCCCAAGGCATGTATAAAATACAAAACATTAGAAGAGATGGCCCTCCATTACAGATATGATGCCAAAACGTGACTGCCACATCCTCATCCAAGAAAACAGGAAGTACCACTGGAAGATGAGGTTGACAGTAAGTCAGGCTTTTTACAGGCACTCTATCTTACAGTTTGGTGGAGAAGGCTGAAATGTAGCTAATGCATAGAACAGAACTGTTCTTCCAGAGTGGTGAGAAGGTGTCAGAAGCTTGTATCCATGTTCTTTTCTTGCATAATGTTAGCATGTATCAAATACAGTGTGTCCCAAAATAATGTTACTTTTTTGTGTTACCATTATAAATTTATAGCACTTTAATATTGAAATCTATTATAGCAAGCCAAAAGTGCAATATTGTGTAACATTATTCTATGAACACTTGTATAAATAAGCAGGTAATTTCATCTTGTGAACTTCATGTACTTTCCAAAGATTATATTCTTTCTTTTCAACATCTACATTATAGATTTATATTTACAAAACATGTGCTATTTATAAAATGACAGTGGCATTGCGAATGTTTACAAAAGAAGGCAACAGTTTGCAGCAAGGTATACAGAACCTTGATTTTTTCATACAAGGAAGAAACCACCCATTTGATATGTAAAAATACAAGTATTTACAATCAGCTGATACTTTTTGTTTCCTTTTATGCTAATGTCAATCTGTCAGTGTACAGCTGAAAGGTATGAACAATATCACTAAATAAAACTAATAATAACCTTCCTTCAGTATTTTATTTCAATCCTAAACACCTGCTGCTCCCCTGCAGACAGATTTCCCATTTCACTACAGGTAATGCATGAGGTTTCTCTATAATTATCAACTGAGACACAGAGCTTAAAGTAGAGAAGTGGAAGGGAAACGTGACTTTTCATAAAACCACATGATGTGGTCCCCTGACTGTCCCTGAACTTTTGGTTGCTTTAAAAACATATCTCTTCATGAAGATTGCAGTCTTCTGGGATGTGATGCTATGTAGTTTGACAGATATTTATCAACTTTTGACAGAGAAAAGTAAAATCCTCCAACCTGAAGACAGAGGCATCAGGTTTCATTAACAGTGACAAATATCTACTCATCGCCATGAGAACCCAAAATCCTGTTATCCCTCTTCATTTTGAGTATTGAACGGTGTCAAACATAACCCGATTAAACACAGTAATTAACATTATATGACTGTTGCCTTAAGCAATAGATATACATCTACAGTGCTTTGGTTCACTTATAGCAAGAGACAATATATGTTTTGATGCACATGATAAAATAAAGGTCATACTATTACAAACATTTACCCTTACAAAAGGAACATCTTAGGAAATAAAACTATTGTTTCTAGATATTATCCATGTCCTGTTTATATTTAAAGCACGTTTTGGACTCATTTTGGCCCAGTTGATACAACCAGTCCATTACCTCTGGACACCAGCACCAAAACAAGATATCCAGTCTCCAAATTGTTGTGCTTTAAGTAAAAACACAATGGATAATGTCCAGAAAAACAATAATTGTAATCATATACTGCTGTAAAAAGCTTTTTGATGGTAGGAAATGTACGCATAGTGTAATCCAAGCACAACTGCTCACTTCTTGATAATCACGAATAGGGCATAAAATGTGCTCCGTACGTTAAAGGTTAAATTCATCTGGCAGTTCTCAACTTCATGTATGTGGACAGAACTAAAGATGCACATGATAAGCCTAGTGGGTGCGTTTTTTTTTTGCTACATTTTATTGCAAATAAAGAGAATTTTCATTTTGAGATCATAACCAGTGCAGGGATGTTCTCAATTAAACTGTGTACTTCCAACTCATGTTTGCGTGTAAAATCAATTAACATATTTATCAAAAGACTTGGGGAAATATCACAGAAACATCAAACAATATATATATACAATTAAAAAATGTTACAAAATAGAACATGCAAAAATTATATGCTATAGGACTACAGTACTGTACAATACTTCCAAATGCCAGTCTTACTGCAGTGTGAACCAACAAGCAAAAGCAGATGTGTATGTCAGGCATATAAAACACACGGTGCCTTGTACATGAACAGAGAATACATGTCCCAACCCCTTACACTTTAAGCGCTGATTTCTGAAGTCTTGTACCCTGCATATTTCTCAAACACGTAGTACATCACATAACAGGAGAAAAATATGAACTTCACTTATGTATCAACTTTTAAAAGCAAAATGTGAAACATTAAATGTAGGAGCTGGTTAACATAGTATCCTATTCCTTCAAGTCAACATTTTCTCATGGAAAATAATGAATGAAATGGAAATAAAAAAGAAGCCATTTATGGTGTTTCAAGAAACAGAACTTGAGACTGTGGTTCTTTTATCCCACAAGTAAAAATATAACACAGCATGAAAATAAGTATGGCACATGATTACTTTCCTAAGCCCTGAGTATGTACCAAAATAACCCTCTAAACAGGAGACATCAGTGGGTGGCATAACACAACTAGACTACCATTTATGCAAACAAAAGGAAAAAGATAGGAAAATAGGTACAGTATTACTTGCCAAGCATGGAACAAGACTTGCATCTTCAATCAGGTCATCTGACATACTTATAACATAACTTTGGCGTTTCATCCCTCACAAACCTTCATACACCTAACAGTCAACTCAAGTTTTCTTCATCTCTACAAACACACTTCCATATATTTTTCATCACTGAAGTTATTTATAGATACAATATTTTACAGAATTTGTTAACAACGCTTCTTTCATATCTTAAGAAAACAGCTCTTTTTAAACAATTTTTGTAACATAAAAAGCAAGGTAAATTCACTCGCAATTTAAGGTACTTTCATATGCCCATGCATTCATTCCTAATGATACAGATTTAGAATATTCAACAACCAAACTAACCTCTCAGACACATTCCATTGCATATTTTCCTTCAGTGATTTAAAGCCAGTCTCCGGACAGCACTGAAGGCCAATCACAGCTATGCACCTCAAACAATCAGCTGACCAACAATACGGTAACTTTCTTTTGGTCACAATATATAATTAACACGATGTTAATTATAGTGTTCATTTTCATTGCACATGTGGCAGAAATACAAAACACAGTAATCAGCCTGCTGGAGGTGGGAGGGAACAGGTGGACCACTTGTTTCCCTGGATGAGGTACTGCTATGAATCTCAATCCGTCTTCTGCTGACAATACAGCTCTTTTAACGACTTCAGCTCCTCTATTAGAGCCTTGTTCTGGTTCTCTAACACAGCCACACGGTTCTCTAGACACTTTATGTACTCCTTCTTCTTTCTCCGACACTCCCTAGCAGCTTCTCTGTTGGAACAATCGCAAAATTACATAATAAACGAAGATGGTTCCTTCCCTTAATTTATGGTTTAATTAATATGCTCTTGGCAGCTCAAACTATAGTGATGAATGTGGGCAACAAAATGGAAATAACGTGGAAGGAAATGGTCACGGCCTATTTCACGGTACTGTTCCAGCCCTCTGGGACTGAAGAAAACCACAAGTTCAGAACAGCTAGTGTCCCAGACAAGAAGGCACAACACCATGTAATTTCAGAACATAACACATGTACTACCTACAGCTCCTGTCATCTCAGAAAACAGGTCCAAGCAATTTGTTTTTAAGTGTGTCCCAGAATACACAATCTAAAAACATCCATCACTCTTACCTGTTCTTCAGTAGCCGCATCTCTCTCTTCCTTGCTTGGTCCTCAGCTATAATTGGTCCTCCACCGATCCCTCCCCCTTGTGTCACCACTAGAACAACACACAAAGTATTTACTTCACTGATATTCAAAGTACACTACAAACTTGGAAGCCACAAACACACGCATGTAGTCTTCAGCCTAAACAATACACAGATTATCACTTATTAGTCCAGTCAAAGTCACATTGCAACTGACGTCCACTCACTCAGTAAGTCTTGGTGTCGAGCCCCATCTGGGGCTCATGACCAGATATTAATTATTACCGTTTGACAGTTGCGGTCTTATTTTTGTGGGGCGCCCTCTCTGACGAGAGGATGGATCTGTCTTTTGTATATGCTTCTGGTGATCGCCAGCACAGTCATTCTCGGATCCGAGTCCTTGGGACTCGCGACCATATTTTACTCCCTCAGATTTGAGATTTTCCTTTTCGTCGCCTCCTACGACTTGCAGGGTCACGGTGGAGGTATTCGACCCCGCCTCCAGAGTACTGTCTTCTAGATATGAGGTGATGTGGGCATCAATGTGTGTTAATTTCTCGACGTCATCAGTATCTCCCAGTGTTTAATAGTGCTTAATGGAAAAATTACTTATGAATAATGATTTGCAAAGAACTTGGAAGCAACTGGTCAAGGACTAATTAAGATACTATACCAGCATCTGCCCAGACAGATTGTGTCCCAGCTGAGATTCAAACGTAGCACCTCACAAATACAATTCTAGAATGTTACAACCACTGTTACCCGCCTGCGATATGATTTAATCTGGCAGAAGTATACCATCATTACACAGGAACATACTGGCAGGCAGGCAAAGTATTCTGACTTGCTGCTTACTCTACAAACGTGAAGATGGAAGGCATATGTTCATCTGAAATGTCAGTTAACTCCTCCAAGGCTGTGTCCATAAGCTATTACTCTTGGCATTCGCCATGTGTGAACCTCAATTCTCATGTCACTTAAACTACAATCTATCTTTATTTATTTATTAATGTGTACTACTTACATGGTGAGAGATGATGATAGAATTCTAATTTAAGATTATAGTTTCTGGAATGTGGCACTATGTAATATATCCGCCAGCATTCTCGAGGAATCTGCTGCCTCTATCTGCCAAAGTACTCCACATCACCGAGCACAGTAATCTTAATACTCACTGCTGTGGGAACCTCATACCTCAGAATTTAAATAGTGTCATGATTTGGAGGTGTGCATGACTTACAGACAGGTTTTGGATTAACGACCAGATTTATTGCACACTCGCCTTCAACTGCCGCCTCAAGATAATCCCTCAATTCTACTCCTCTGCTCCAAAGTTCACATCCTAGCAGGCTGCCATCTCGAAACTTAATGGACTTAAACTATCTTCTCTGTCCTCCTCATAGCCCCTCGGCATGGACCGCATAGAAAGCACGGCTTTTCTATTGTTGTGTGAACTGGTTTGCACAGAAACGTGTCTACTCAACTGTTCCATAGAAATGGCTCTATGCATCACATCTTGTATCATAACAATTCCTCTAGTGTTGCATGCAGGCATTACCTAGCAATGGCTGTTTCTCTTGCTTTTCTAGTATGAGCACCACACTCCAGTGATCGGTACTATCCAAAGAATTTTATTGCAACTGTAGTAGCTGGTCATGGAAGATTTTACTGTTTTAAACTTCTACCCGCCCAAGAACATAATTTCTTTCTTATTGCATTATGTACCATGATGACCCAGTTACATACCAGGCACAAAGAACTGACCATCCTGCCCTTGAGCATACTGTACAATTGCTCCTCCTGCCGTCGTTGCATTCGTCATTGTTAGCGTATGAAGCCCCTGCACAGTCTCGCCTTGACTCGCAATCTGGATTGCTCCTGCTGGTATCACTACAACAAAATAAATTCAAAATACAATACTTCATTTCATCATCTAAAACTTAACCTTGCTTTTTTCAAAGCCATTTGATGATCATGTAATGCACAATTCAAGGCTACTTATTTGGGTTCTATCCACCATCTTAGTTTTTAATAGATAAACCACAAGTTTTTGGAACTGCGTTCTATTTCCAGCTTCAAGATGAGGAATTTCTATTACTGTTGATCCCCTCTGAAGAGCTATTCTTATATAATGAACCAGGGTATAAGGGTAGTCCTACCTAGAGGTGCAACAGAGGAAGAATAAGAACTTAATATCCTCCTCACATGAAGCCGGAAATAGAACACATTTCCACAACAATGTGCTTAATAGATTAAGAATTAAAAAAGATTGGCAAAGTCCAAGTAAATAGCCTCAAACAGCTCTGCACTTGCTCGTTCACTGTGGAAACAATGACACACACATACACATACATGTTGCAACCTGAAGACTGACATTTTGTGCTTCAGCTCATACTTAATGTGCTACGGTGTCAACAGAATTCAAAACTGATCAGGTGATATCACCTTCATGTATTACTGCTATGGTTTAATATATCCAAACACTGGCTGAAACATTGACATTATCTTATAATATTATAATGTATAATTTGTCAACTTTCTAATGATGTACTAAGCTACACCATTATCTGATGATGATGATGATGATGCACCCTCAAAGATGTTTTCAACAAAAATCAGAAGACCTTAAAATCTGTATTTTTAATTTTTTCAGTATTGACGTTATGATTGAATGTAAGTATGCAGTAACTCTAGGAACTATGTACTTCAGTTATGATGATGATATGTCTGATAACGTAACTAGTTATACTGTTTAACCGCTGCTTGATAGTTCTCGTTTTAGAAACAATAAGTCATACCAGTTTTCACTCATTATGTCTACAAATTTCATCCTTTCAAAATGTCACTGTTGTTCTTGTTGTGTTTGCCTGATGTACGCACCAAAACTACAGACTCTGAACTACTCATCATGAATTAGCAAAACAACTAAATGGTCTGACTTCACTCAGAAACTAAGTACTTCCATACAGTAGAACCCTTCTCGAGAAGCAAATAGCTGCTCAGCTAGTTAAGTGATTCCCTGACTATTACAGAACCTACAGGTTTATTAGTGTGCTCACAAAAGCCTGCCACTGGTCCCTATCCTGAGCCAGATAAAACTATCACACCCTCATCCCATTTCTGGATCATCTATTTAATATCATCCTCCCATATATGCCTAGGACTCCCAAGGAATCCCCTTCCTTCAGATTTTCTTACTAAAATTTTGTACGCATCTATTCTTTCTCATGTCTGTCATGCGAACTAAAGCAACCTAGCAATACCTCATATATTCAACTCAATTTCAAAAGGAGCCCTCATATCAAGTTGTCACACGTGTCATCTGCAACTCAACTCCAGAGTGAATGATAAATACAGTCTGAGCTTCCTGCAGATCCTTATACTTCAAGAAACAGTTCAGTCATATTTATAAATAAAAATTATATTAACAACATATCACATTCACGACTAATATACATTTTAATTAGCTTTGACAATTACTCTCACTTTGGCAGGGAATGACGATATCCCTTCCCCTTAACTGTGCTCTCCACCACCTTCCCAATCCCTCCCACTTGTGGTTGGGAAAATTATTCATACCTGCCTGTACAAAATTACAGAAGCAATTTTGTAAACTGCCCCAAGAGATGCACCAATACAATACAATCGAAACCTCAAAGTTACTCACAAACAGGAAACTAGAAATGAAAAACTTTCAAACATTTTCAGAAATGTCTGAGAATGAACAAGTATGATTTTCATACAAATTTTGGAATAACATTTGTCTGGGAGAGAAAGCACTTCCAACGATCAGTACAGATATTATGTTCGTAGACATTATCCATCCTCCTGTCTTTATCTAAAAACACAGTACGATGGATAATGTCCAAAAACATAATATCTGTACTGATGTACCCATCATCACAAACTAAAGATCTTACTTCTGACCATAATTAAATGTTTGCAGGTAGAAGTTCCACATTAGTGGGCTGACATAGGGCTTATAATTTGCATTTTTTGGTACTCAGAAAATCTATACACAAATAATCTTATGACCAGTCTACATGTACTGTTACAAGCTTCTTTCCTTCAGCAATTAATCTCTGACGATTGTTAATAATGAATCAGCATCAACTTAAGTCTTTGCTTAATGTATTTATTTCTACATTTTTGCGCACACACATGCGCACGCAGCCTCTCTCTCTCTCTCTTCATCCTCAAAGACCAAATCTAAGCAACTGAAGATAGTGTAAGCACTAAGCCCTTTGAACAAGTACATAAAAATGACTTAAACCGAAGTAACAGTGGATGTGTAAGGCACCTGACTCCAAATAACAGCCGTCACTTTCACACTTCAATTGCCCTCAAGTTATTAGTTTTCAGCACACATAAATACCCCCCTGTATGCATGTATCTTGTGGTGTAACCATGCTAGTTCCCATCTCACACATGATCTTTAAGCAGTAAGGCACAAATCTTTGAATGCACTTCTCTCTCCTGTGCACTACATGCCCTGCTCCATTCCTGCTTGATCATTCTAACATCTGGCAAAACATACAAATTATGAAGCTTCTCACTATGAAGATTTTTTCTGTGTCCTGTTTCCTCATTCCTCATATAACTACCTACCAGTGAAACAGGACTTAAAGGGGGACTGCGGGAAAGATGCACGATGTTTACTGAATGTTTTGTAAGTCACAGAATAAAAATGTTGACTTGTTTCTAAAATACTAACAATACAAAAAGACCATAAATCAGGCCTTGGTAACACATCAGAATTGGACATACAAAGATGCGCAAGATAAATACACATGCAATTCTACACCTAAGGAATGCTCTTGCCGAAGCAATATGAACACAAAAACATCCCGATGAAATGGCAAATCTCTGCCCAACAAGGGGAACACATTCTTCATGAATGGCATGTTAGGTAAATTCGCACTGGATGAACTTAAATGGGGTCATGTGAACACCAGAGATTCATTTACGGAACTACAGTTTCAAAATCACAAATATAATAATCCCAGCCAGGAAGCTCTTGTTCACCGATGCACAAGTTGGCACCACTCGCATGCAACAGTTATTAGTCTCTTCATATGAATACAATGACATTAATTAGCAAGTGAAATGAAATTCAAAGCCAAAAATAGGCGGAAGTGAAAGCACGAAACTCCACTCACAAACAGTTTTGAGGACAAACTGTTTTCATATGATCAAAACATCCACTGTATTAAGCATGAAAACAATCAAATATAAATGCATATATCAATTTTGAAAAATTGTTAACACACCCACAAGAATGGAATATCAAATGTGAAAACAATTTAATCAGTACAATGTCTTCTCAGGCAATCAGCCTTGTGAAAATGGAGTCAGCATCTAACATGTGAGAAAATCTCTCTGCCTCCGACAGCAGGGATTGATGTGTGACAGCTGATCACACTAGAAGACTTTGCTGAATATAGTAAGTAAAGCTATCCCTGTACCAGGCCATGAAGGCCCATAGGGTTGTGAGACATTGAGGGTCCCACACTATCTAGACAATCGGCTCAAAGATGGCGGTAAGGTTGTCAGCCTTACACGCACGAGAACTATAAATCATGTATTTTAATCAATATTTAGAAAAAATTACTGAAAAAAATGTATGACTCAAGTTCCTTACGATGGCAACTATCAAGACTATGATATTCTTGGATATGACACAGTATAAGAGATTTTTAGGGAACTTATCTACTAAATTAGATTGTGTGACATCCTAGCAGACCATAATCTTGATGCATCATATGATAAAAATGTTATACATAGTGTTCTATATAACTAGTAGAAAATAGCAGCCACTGTCTATAATGGAAATCAGTTACAACTTTTTTCATTCCTACAAGGTGCATTAAATAGCAGGAATGACTATAAAAAAAAAAAGGCACTCACCTTTGGTGAGTGTGGTCACCTTCTATGTACTCTCACCATCTGATCTATGTACACATTCCAACATCTCTGCCATGCCTGGATACACTGCTGGAAAAGTATGTTCAGTACCATCCTTGCATAGGTCTCCATGTCTTCAAGCAATTCAGAAGAACTCTCTTTTGAAGAAACTTTCCTTTTCGCAAAATGTCACACAATGCCAAATCACTGTAATTACTGTTGATATTTCCAACACTGGTATCTGCACTCTGGCCAGAAATGACTTTGCCACAGATACTGTGTGGGGAAGTACATTATTGGTACACAAAACCCAACTTGTCCAGTGAAATATATGGTCTCTTTGAACAAATTCACTGCCATAAATGTTCCAAAACTTGAAGCCTAGATTACTCACTTATTTTGAAATAATACAATCACAACTGGTAATTGCTCTGATATAAAAATCTATTCAGCATGATTTTGATCTTTGATTCTGAAATTCACATCTTCTTGGTCCAAGATTCTGGACTCTGATTTATTTCTGGATTAAATTAGAAGATTCAAAGTCCCATCAACAGTCACTAACTACATGGAGCTGAACAGTCCTTGAAAATGTGACAGATGCTCAGCTACTCAGTAAGTGATGGAACCATATTCACAAGTGCCCACCACCGGTACCTATTCCAAGTGAGATCCAGTCTTTTCTGACCTATTTCTTTAGGATCCATCTTAATATTATCCTATTTATGCCTAGGTCTCCAAAGTGGACTCTCATCTTCAGACGTTCAGCATCATACAATGGCTACAATCTTCAGAGTAGAACGCTGAGTATAATGAGCTCCATCCAATGGACCCAGCAGAGTAGGTTCTGTACTTAAACCTGACAACGGAAGCAAATCCAGCTTCCAAAATGTCGTTTTTAACCAAAAGAAATACAATGGAAAATGTCCAACATGTGCATCAGTTTACGAAACATAACATCTCACGTTTCTTTATAAGAATATTTACAGACCAAAAAGCCAAGCCACTGTGATGCTTTCACACACGCTGCTCTGGTTTCAAAACTCTGCTACAGAATGGGTGTGTACACATTACATCAACCCTAACAGGTGCAGGGTGCATATAATACTGCAAATTAAAAGACAGTACAATGTGACATCAAATCATCATACTCATATTTACATAAGAACACTATAAAATGGGAAATTCTATAATCTGACTATTGTGGAAGTTGATAACAATGACTTTGTTACATAAAGGACTCCATTTCCTTTCAAAATACCGAAGTGTTAACATGTGCATGTGATTCTAGTCATGGGCTGCCAACTCTCAAGATTCAGACTAGAATGACAATTATGGCATTTCTTGCGCTGGAGTTTCATCATGTGCTCTGCCATGTGAAAACAAAGTTAATATCCAGTGCTTTGAAGACTGCATCTGTCAGCATTGAGTGATGAGTCAATCATCACATCGCACCCTGACGATTGAAACAGTCTCTAAAACACTGGACAGCAACTCTGTTCAGAATTCAATTCCCAACAGAGGCAACAAATTTTCAACTTCTCCCCAAACCAACTCTAGGCCCATCTATTCTATCCAATGGGTACTGGGTTCATTTCCCAAGAACAGGTGGCTGGGCCATGAAAGTGACCACTCACATCCATCTTGGGAAAGATTAAGAATGTATGGAGTTCATACCTCCACTTCCCTACGTTTCTTCATGGTGCGGTTTTTCATTAAGCACATGGACAAGTTTAAATTTTACCTTTAAAGGGCTGTGTTGTAATTAGATGAAACTTGCTGTGGGCCAGTCTCTCACTCACTCATCTTAAACCATGGTTAACACAATCAAGGCCCTTCACTTCAAGGCTTTAACTTTGTATAAACCATGGACATTTGCCCCAAAATATCATTCTCACCTGTCATTCCATTCCCTACACTTCAGAATCCAACCGATGTCCTGCAAGATGTTCACCAGTATAACGCAGCATTTACTGTCATAACCACCACTTGATTCATGCCTTTTCGAGGTGACAACCCTGACTTAACATGTGACAATATACATTTAGAGATATACTGGGTAAACAGAGAACCATTCAGCCAGTTCATGCTAATGAAGGACAAAGAATACACCCAGTAAGGATATACAGGATGGACAAACATTACATACCCGGTAAGCTGAGTTTCTTTATACATCTATATATCTATATATGTTTTCATTTGTCCTTAACCCCATCTTGTGTTAATAACAAACAGTTCAGTGTTCTTTCAAGAAAAGTTACAATATGGGTACAATGCTTAGCACACACACACACACACACATTTTCAGAACAAGCAAGCAATCAAATAGTTTTCATTACCATGTGATCTGAAACTATCAGAAACTATGAAAACTACTGTTTCGGGATGTAACAGCATAGTTTGACACATAGGCACCAACATTTTGGAGGAAGCTGCTATCTCCAAAACACTGGCAGCTACTTATCAAATTACAAAGTGCTATATCACAAATGACAGCAGTCTTCAATTTGTTAACCCTTCGAGTGCCACGCCTCTCAATGAAAATATCCGCTAGAAATGTCAAGGCTGAGCTACAAGGTTCTCACAAATGTAAATATTATAATTACGGTATTCTAGAATGTGATACCTTGTAGTTTGGTCAACAGCTATCAGTGATTCAGACAAATCAGGTGCCTCTAGCTTTAGGGGGAAGGGGACAAGGACTTCTGCCTTGAAGACAGATGAGGTAGCAGGTTTCTCTCAACACTGATACCTATCTACCAAACTATACAATGTCACATCCCACTTGATAATAATCTTCATGGTATTTATTCTTCATATAATTGCCCACTGTTAACAACTTCTAAACTACAGTGTACAAAAAAAAAACTGTGGTTTCAGTCCACAAGCGAACTATACCGACCGAGCAACCGCCACCTGTCAGTGAAGTTAGTGCTAACTTTAGCAGATAGAGGGTGTCACGTGGTCAGTGCAACGAAACCCCACAGCCGTTAATTTCAGTTTTCTATACTGGAGCCACTATTTCCTTGAAATAGCTCCTCAATTATCCTCAAGAGGCTGAGCGAACTGCGTTCCAGACCCACTGTTTCTCAGAAAAATCTGGTAGTGCCAGGAATCTTAACTTGGACCTCTGGTTCTGTAGCCAGCATTAGACCACAGTGGTGATCCCACAGTGTACACCAATTCATTATTATTTCCAGGTTTTCTATTCATTCAACTCTTGATTCCCAGCAAGTGCAGAAATCCAAATTTACTTACTGATGGCATCATCAGAAAACTTCCAGAATTTTATGCCCCATTTCTAGAGGTGCTTATTTTGCAGATACTGGACTGTGGGATTTTATCCCAACCAGACTTTCATCAACTGAGAGTTATTCATGTGTGCAGTAATGATCAAACTTCCTATTTGCATGCTCTATAATTGGTCAAAACTCTGCAAGAGAACAACAGATTTCATCTCTGGGGCAGCAAGATTATCATTACTATAGCTCTTCCTGAAAACATCCTGCCAAACAACTGTCTTGTTATATGGTCTGTCATCCTCTGGTATTACTCACTACTGGGCTTTGTAGTAAATCCCATGTTCACAACACGTACATTAAATGCCCTTACATCTGCTAACAAGAAACTGGTTAGCTCTTTCAACATTTTGATTTAGAAGTCAGTAGACAGCTGGAAATGAACTGTTTGTTGTGCATACCAATTTGTTTCTCTGATTATCAAGTTTAAGACAGCAGAGGTAACAAAGAGATTTAAGTACGATACTGGGAAAGAATTCATGGGAGTATTGTTTCAGTCCCATGACTTAGCTGTACAGTCAGGATTAGCTGGCTTCTTAGGGTCAATCTCAGTCCAAGTTTCAGAATTTCCTACATCACTTACATTAACATTTTCATCTTGTAGGTCATATTCTGAATTACTATTACCGGTGCCAAAGGGGTCTTTGCGTGAAGTTTGAATTTTCCCCACTTGTTATCATACTTGTTCACAATTCTTCTCCTCTTGGTATACAATGCCCATGAAACAAACTTGCAGTAACACTTGATTCACCGCCTGAACTAGAAACTTCTGACTGAATTTCACCTATTAATATATCATTGCACTCGAATAATTCCGTCATTCTATCATCAATGTTACCAGCAACAAACATGTGCTTACTCTTTCACCTACCGCTTAAACAGCATAGGTAAAAGTCAGTAATATTTCCTCAAAAGACTTCAAGCAATAGATGTATTTCTTTTGAAAGTACCCACACATTTCATGCCATGAATGCTATACCAAACTGACTAACAAATCAATTTCTTTGGTTGTGGCAGTTTCAATGCAAGTAGCCTGTATCTAACTGGTATGTAGTATACAAAGGGTTAAGCAGTTGTGGCACATAAAAGGTTAACTACTGAGTAACATCACAACATTTCTCCAAATAACATAACTTATTCTGAAATTTATTCTCAATATAAAATGTGAACAAATGTCAGGTAAGCTTTTTTTACCCCAATTCATTATTCAGAGTTAAAAAGAACACTGGACCATCTTGTGTTTTTAAGGTACAGATACATGAAGATACCACTTTGAGTGTGAAGCCAAGGTACAGGATGAAGCAACAAAAACAAATTCCAAATTCCCACCCCCAAGTACAGGTGTTAATGTCACCAGCCTTCCCACCCTGGTAGTTACGGGTACATGAACAAAATGGTGCCAACCAATTTCACATTACATCTTGGTAACAGAGATTAAACACTTTAATGATGGTAATTTGATAACATTTTATTTCACAGTTCCAGGCAAACAGGGACACAAAAGTATGAGGTATCCAAAATGAAACCAGAGAGGGGCTGGAGCACTTAGTGACTGAGAGATAAGCTAATATTCTGTGGTACTTCTTTATTTTGACTTCAATTATGTACAGTTACTTCTGTCATGCCTCTTAAAGAAGCCATATAAACTTGTAACTAAATTTGGTTGGCAACATATGATAAACCAACATCGGGTGTCAAATGGGTGACAGGAAGGGAACAATGTAAAGCCACATTAAGGGATTCTTCCATCCGTTTTTTAACTTTCTGACTGCAAGCTAACCGGACAAGCAATGTTTGAACCAACCTGTGGCAGTATGAGTCTGGTAGTGAGAAGGAATCGAATGAGAAGACAGCTCGCTATCCTCATTAGTGTCAACTTCCGATGAGGATTCACCTCTACCCACTGCAAAGACATGTGTAATATTAATTTCAACCCCAACAATAACAGATCATACCTTATTTCCACTGTGAAAAATGAATAATACAGCTGTGAAACTTTTAGCATAAATGTGTATAACTGGCTTTCAGGTTTGAGACACATCATTCTTGCAACTCCTAACATTTTGGCAAACAATGCAGATGCCATCTTCAAGGTGAATGTTACATACGCACACAAAGTCTTATGAAGGGGGGAAGGAGATGGAGGACGAAGGGTGTCTCCTGGAATATGATGCCATGTAGTCTTGACTGCTACCCACTAACATTTTGACTGAACTTCCTGCTCTATCCCACAGAGATACTGGGTTTTCGGACTTTGTCCATCATCCGGATTCTAAATAACTTAGAAAAAAACACAACATCCAGCGATTGAAGCTGGATCTTTCTAAAGGACCCAAAAGAGTAGGTGTCTTCCCTCACCTGAGGACAGAAACAGATCCAGTTTCCGAAACGTTGTGTTTTTTTCTAAGTTATTTAGAATCTGGATGATGAACAAAGTCCGAAAACCCAGTATCTCTGTGTGCTTCACACCATCATCAGAACCCTATAGTATCTACTTATTCCTGCTCTATCTTCTGCTACCCTAAAGAAAGAGGCAGGAAGCTAGTCCAAAAAGCGGGCACGTATCTACTACAGTACACACAGTGTCACATCTCATGCAGTAACTCACCACTGTAAAAATTCAAATCACATGAACGACTGCTTAACGTCCTGGCACTAACAACTGGACTGAACCCTAATGTTTGGAGAACAGAGCGGCCACCCGATTTCACTTAATCTTCTTCAATTTTCCTGGTACCCTCTCCTGTTTATTCTCTCCTTCCCTGAGACATATCCTACTCATTTCTCCTTTCCGTGCCATTCACCTGAAGATGACAGCTATAGTCTTTAGGTCTTCATCAGACAATGCAGCTCACACCTAAACACTGGTCTTAAACATTAGACACTGGCTGTGGGAACTTAGGAATGTGACGAAAGTGCAGAAGATTACAAACACTCTGCAAGAATATACTGCCTCCATCTTCAGGGTTCAAGTATAACTCGGAAGATTGCAGCATGTTCTCAAATGTTGGCAACCTTTCACCAGATAACATTGCATCATATCCTAATGGACAGCAGTCAATATTTATGCCCATAAGAACCTCAAATCTCATATTACTATTATGTGAAATCAGAAATGCAGGAACTCTTTGTTTTCTTGTATACTATTTTGAGCAGAACTCACACTTAATGTCCTATAACTCAACATTTCCTTTTATTTAACGTTCAATTTTAATGATCCGAAGTGAATACTCATAGTGCTAAATTACCTCCATTTAAGATTCTCTCCAGTTTTAGTGTTCCTTCTGGGATGTGACACCATGTAGACTGGTAAACGTTTCAGGATTTCCAAGGAACATGCTGCCTTCACTTCAAGGTCAAGGAGTGCCATGATCATGCAGCTAGCAGACTGCTCTCCTTACTGCTTGCTTGGCATACTCTTTGACTCTGATGATGTAGGCAGTATGTTCCTATGAAATGACAACGAGCTTCTACCTGACTAAATGACATCACATCCTAGAAGACACCACACAGACACCAGGACAACACCCTCAAGTCTCTCCTTGCGTGCTGCTTGCCTGCAATTAAAGCTACTACATAACACTTATCAACTAATAAACTCCATGGAGCCATGTCCTCCCTAAGAAGTAAACAACTCCTCAGGAACTCCAAAAACCTTTATGGAACCTGAAGGTTTATTACCATGTTCACAAGAGCCCACCACTGGTCTCCATCTGTAGCCAAATGAATCCAATTCACACTATTCTGTATTATAAAATTATGATCAATTTACTTATCCTCCCACCTATGTCCAGATCTTCCTACTGGCATATTTCCTTCTGGTTTTTCCACCAAAACCCTGTGTGCACGCCATGTTTCACCAATGCATGCTACATGCCATAACCATCTCTCTCTCTCTCGCTCCTTTATTTGATCATTTTCATTACATTTGTTGATGTGAAAAAGTTATGAAGCTCCTCACTGTGCAATTTTCTCCAACCTCCTACCACTTCATCCCTCTTCTGCCCAAATATTCTACTTGACACCCTGTTCTCAAATTCCTTCAGTCTATGTTTCCCCATAAGAAAATTATAGTTTTGTGTATTCTAATCTGTAACAAATCAAATGATGATAAAATACTGTATTTAGATATTAACTAAAGAGATTTTTTAATTTCCTGAACAGAGTAACCATTCACCAACCATGTAAATCGCTGAGTTCAAAGAAGAAGCCTTGCAGTAAAATCCTCACTGGGTCCAACCAGAGATCTCTGGCACAGGATGTCAGCACCTTGATCCTATTCTACTGGTGCCCAGATAGGAGAAAATGTCTTGATCCTATTCTACTGGGGCCCAGATAGGAGAAAATGTCTTGATCCTATTCTACTGGGGCCCAGATAGGAGAAAATGTCTTGATCCTATTCTACTGGGGTCCAGATAGGAGAAAATGTACAACAGAATACAGCCATGTGAGTCTGTCCTATAACAACAGGTACAGGACCCTTGCCTCCACAGTCAAAGTTGCATCAAAACCCAGAAGATCAAAACAGTATGTCCCTTCTAAACTTTTAAACTTGAAAAATATGAACATGCCTTTTAAAAACAAATATAACAAATAATATAACTTCAAAACAGAAATTACTACTAGCACACAATTACATATACAGTGCAGAAGTTATGTCATGTTAAACACACAAGAGTGTGGAGAGAATAAAATAAAACCACTAAACACAGTATATGCTTATTAATACTTAAATCATGTATCACAAGTTCACTTCATCCGTGATTATTTATAACATGTGTTTAGCTCAGTAAAACAAGATATGACTAGAAAGTTCATAGATACAGAAAAACCATTACCTTTATAATAAATGGTAGTGTTATTTACTACCAGTCTTGCAAAAAGTTAAATACAGAAACAACATACTCATACTGCTGAAAACATTTAAAGCAGCACACTTGAAAGTTCTATTGCACAATTAATAATTAAATGTATGAACATTAGGGGGTGCAGAAACCTCACAAAAATGTATATATAAATCCATAATGAGACAACAGGATGAAGCCTTAGTCAATTATCTGGAAAATCTGACATGCACGGCTACCACGACCTGGGAGAACAATTTTTTAATGCTTTTGACAGTTCATCTTGTTCTTACAGTGGACCTGTACCAACATGATCACAGAAAATTTCTTTTACAGTAATTTTAATATACAGTACACTTTCCCTTATCCAGAGTTCTATCTTCTGGGATATAACGTCAGGCAGTCCACTGAAAGTCAACCGGTGTTCCAGAGGAACACGTAGGCTCCATCTTCAGGATCAAAGAAGCCAAGCAAGAAATCAAAGTGAAGCAGGTGGCAAGCAGTGGCTGAAGATGATGGCTACCTGTTTCTTAACAAAACATCAACTGACTTTCAGCAGACTACATGGCGCTATATAGCCACTGCTGTGAGAACCTCAAATCCTGTTATCTGGCTACCATGTATAGAGAGAGTGATATGCTGGTAAAATGAATCTGCCATTTGCACAAGAAAAAATCTTACAAACTAAAAACATGAACTCAAAGCAACATATTCTCACTTTAGATCTTGTGCAGTGATGTTCCTAAGCGACACAGCAGATTTACGGGTGAGATTTCGGATACTGTAACACAATCACACATTCAACTAGCCTCTACTGTAGCAACATTGGCACAACAGAGGAAATGTGTGAGCATCACAAATCTGTCTTTGAATACCCATACAAAAACGATAAATTTTCTTCAACACTTGCTCTGCTTGGACGAGAATGCTGACCCCTGTATACGGGATAACCCGGAGATTACGGCGTTAACTTTATCCTCAGATTCTACTACTTTTTAACACAAAAATATAAGATATGTCAGGTAAATTTCCAATAATCAACCACCCATTCATATGTTGGAATGTTACCTGCTATTTCACCTCCTCCAAGGTCATTCAGAATCTTCCTGTAGGATGGTCTCCGTGTAAGAATGTCACGCCTTTTCTTGGTTGAATCGTCATCATTTGACAAGCTGTCATCACTACCTGCATCCACAACCTACAGCACACATGAAGTCGGCGATTAACATTAAGCACGCGCACACACACCAAAATTAATCTATTATTTTGTTGCTGAATACATCTGAAACTAACAGGAGGCATATAGAAAGGATTACTCAAATATGTCACATTAATCATGGATATGAGAATTCAAGCAGTAGTGTACTGTTAACATAATGCATACATATTAGGGATCTCTAGGAGCTCTAGACTCGATTTTACTCAACTGATTTACGCTGACTTTTTACAAACACCTATGAATGGAAACCATAAACAGAAACATAAGACCTACCGTATTTTAATACGTTCCGAAAAACAGACCTGCATAGTGGTGATTATGGGTAGCAGATTATTTAACAATGCTTTAGCAACTGCAGCAGTTATTTAACATCGAATGATATGATAGGATGACTGCATTCGGTGAACTTGAACAGAATGAGTAGCAAACAGCCTGGCCTTTTACAATGTGCTACCCCGATATTCACCTGGAGGGAGTGATATCAGTGAATGATTAATGACCTGGATGGCATAAAGACGTTACCTCTATCATGCTAAACACGTGCCACTTCGCCAGGCATTAACGACCCTCGAAAACCTATCACAGTTCAAAATATTACGTACGTCTCCATGTTTAGATACGAAGCACTGAGAGGCTAAAACATGGAAAAAAACTGTGTTCATACACTTCCAGTGACATTCTCACAATGCCATTAAGTTTATGGTTTCCCAGGACATGAGGGCACATAGTACAGCAGATAGGTACCAACGTCTGGTAACCTGGCTTCGTCTTACTCATCTGTCCCAAAAATGGAGACAGCAGGTTCCTCCAAAATGTTGGTGCCTATCTAAAGACAATTATCTCATTAACACACTGGCCAGCTATATATAAAAAAAGTTGCAACTGTTGCAGTAACATGAGTGTACCTGTAGAGTCTGTAAACTTCCTTGTGTGGTTTGTATTACAGAGTTGGGTTTGCTCACAAGAATTACGTTTCCTTTCTGCAGTTGAACTGGCTGAATATTTGCTGGAGTCTGGATTACTGACTGTTGATTAGCTTGGATTACTGACTGAACCTAAGAAAATGACAACATTAACATAAACATGTCACACAGATGCGAGATTTGAGGTTTTCACGGCGGTGATTATGAAGAAAGCAGTCTTCTGGGATACGGCACCGTGTAGATGTGGTGTTAACCGACGTTTCAGAGGAACGTATCGCCTCCATCTTCAGTCTGCTTGTACCAGTTCTCACAGTCTCTTCGCTTGCAGATTTCTTATTTTTCCTTCTACCCTGAAGATGGAGGTAATACGTTCCTCCAATATGTAGGTTAACACCACATCTACATGGTGCCACATCCCAGAAGACTGCTTTCTTCATGTCACACAGACGTTTGCTAGATTTATATTATGATTAAAATACATTCCTTCAATAAATTTCTTTCTAATATGCACTGAATTCTGAATTAACATAGGGGTAAAGTTGTACCCCTGAGCTTAATTAAGCACTATGCCACAGAGACATATGGTGAATGTAACAATCCTTTAATCTTAGAACATCCACATTTCTCTTTCTGGGGGGGTTTACTGCACCAAGCTTTGAACGTGGGCTTATTGGGTTACAGGGAATGAATGTTCCAGTACTCACTGAACAGAAGAGTGGGTGGGTCTGAGCCTGTAAGAACACTATAAAGAAGAAAAGAGCATCTGCACCTGCCAGGAATCAAACCTTAATTCCAATCTGTCCAGCCTGTAGCCTCGTCTTTTCACTGACTCAGCTGTTCCTGGCTCTCAATGGATCATTACAATGAGTGAAATAAACTAATTACTGATTCTGTCATCGCATTAGTTTCTTATACAAATACAGATTTTGACTTCATATATAAAAAAAATTCAAGTTCAAATGATTTATAAACTTAATATATCATATACAATTCTAAAAATAGCTCTTAAACTAAAGATCTCTATACAAACGAAATAGCACAGTAATCCCTTCCCTAACACGGGGGTTATGTTCTTATACTATACTGTGGATCTTAAAATCATCTTGCATAAGGGCTTGGTTTTATGGGAAATAAGTCATAAGGGGATTCTTCCTCTGGAAATGTATGTATAAAGAAGATCAAGGTTCAAAATTAAGTATGCGTGCTTATATTAACACACACACATGTACACTATTAAAAAATACTTTTTAATTTATGTCTATTGTACATATATGGAAACATGAGGAGTTTCTGTAATGTAAAGTAAGCCCTGGACTTAAGCCATTAAGCACTCTGTCATGAAAGTGAAGGGGGAGGAGGGAGGTGTAGCTGGTAATAATGAAAGTAGGTAAAGTTGTCCCCGTGCTTAACTACTTAAGCACTACGCTATGAAGGTGTAGAGGGGAGTGGATGTATAGATCCATATTTTCTTGAACTCAGCACTAGAGGAAGGTGAGCGGTCAGCTTCACACCCCTGCCGCTTTACTCCCAGGGAAAGAGGCACCAGTACTGGATAGGAGGTTGGGTAGGTCCCAGAGCCAGTCTGGACATGGAGAACGTACGTACTGCACTATAAAGTAACATGGATACTGTACAGCTCCTGGCTACGTCCATCCTCTTTCCTTCATAGCATATTCTTCATCGACAATGAATTGTTTTCTTGGCCTTCTCTACACAAGGATCACAAGTTTTATACGTGACTTTTGCTTCAGCAATAGCCCTAACAGTTGCCTGACTTCGTTCAGTGTGGTTCTAACAGATGTTTCACATGAAAATACCTTCCAACAGGGGCTACACTCTCATCACAAACACTAATTTACCAAGCACATCAATTTCATATTCTAGGGTCATTATTTTTTTAACTTGTTTTGCAGTAGCATTGCTACAATAACGCTATGAGGCCATAATTCAGGGGAAAACATTGCAGTACTATATACAGAACAAGATAAGTTATTCTAAGTTTGTGAATGGGGTGTTACACTATCTGATACACATGTTCTCACAGCAACTCATGGCAACACTGTGAGGCTGGGTACAGTCCGATATCAATTGTGCACAGATTTGTGCATTAGAACTGGAGATCCTCAATCATGGACAAACAAAATTCAGCCCCATGTTGTATAAAACTGATGTCTAAATACATATCCTATATAATGAAAACCATGTTAATCAAACCCATGTTAAACAATAGGCCAGAAGTGGTCGCAGTACAAGGGACTTAGTCCCACCCCACTAGCAATAAAAAAGAATAAACAAACAATGGATTACTGTATACCAATGTAAAATGCTAAATAAAACAATACCAGCATTCTGCAAGCCACTTCCCAACACATTCAGCCATAACTGTTAAAACAAAATTAGAAAATTATAATTAATTATATAATGATATATATATACATAACTCCAATGCAACTATGAAAATGTATGCAGAATATGTTGCACAATTTTCTGGTTTTATCAATTTTACATGTAATAAAATGTATCTCTTTCTCACGTGCAAAAAATGTAAGGTCTAAGAGAAGAACAAAACTCATGCACATAAAATGCTCAGATAATTATAAACAGACCACTCATGCATCATCTAAGTATGAACATCTCTTTACACCTGTCAATACAGCAACAGAAGAAAATTATATTGAACAAGTAATTTTTGTACATGCATATTTAGACATTTTATAAATGATGTCCTTTCTTACAACAAATATTCAAACTGTGCATGTAAATGTGTCACATGACACCAAATGCAGAAAAATATGGTCTGGAATGGCTATGTGCATAATCCATATTCATATTCTTGAAACATCCAAAGTAGGAAAAAAATAAAATGTGCCTAAAATACCACTGGTCTGTAATCGCTTTAAAAGATTTGTGAGCATTTCAGAAGATGGTTCAGTTTTAACTGGTGGCAATATATCGTTAATGACATCATTTATTAATAGCTCATATGAGAACACACTGGCCAGAACACTTTAGGGGAGAGGCCTGGGGTTCTAGCACCCCTGTACCTGTGCTGTGGCTGTACTGTTGTTTACATGTGTTGGGAGTGTGAGTTGCACGATGCTCGTAGCGGCAACTAGGTGTTGTTGCTCAGAGGAAGAACTCTGTACCGATGTGACAACCACTGAAGAGTTGGCATCCGCAGGTGAATGTGCCAAAGGATCAACTCCAGGGTTGCCAGCTGTTCCATTTTCTTCAACCATACCATCCATAGCCTTGGGATGTTACCCCCCTAAAAACAGTGATACACAGATAAAACATTCATTAAGACTAAAATATTTTAATACATCTTATCACTGTTCCAAGTATTTTACCATAGTGTCAGTACTAATTAAACTGCTTACTGTGCCTTAAATTAAAATTGATACTTAAAACATTAACTCAGAATTTGGTATATCATCACTCGGATTTAAAAATATTAATCCATACTTCAGTAAAACAACATACTACCTACAACTAGAATTACTGATAATAAACACATTCCATTAACGTATATAAATTACTATTTCATAACATACTTGGCGTAAAACGTTTTCTCACATCTGAAAACATTCATATTCACCGGGCTAAATCACGGCATAAACCGGGAGAAATGGTAGGGCTTATTTCTAAATTTACACATACTAATCTCTCCGTAAGACGCCATATTCTGTACCTTTTCCTGTAAGAGAGTAAAACAGTCTTGGAACATTTTTTAAGGCTTTATTTCACGAAATCCTGCTCTACACCACCCTCAGAGGTTCCTAATAAACATACACCATGCTTCGTTGTTATTATTCTTCAGCTGAGTTCTTACCAGTTACGTATTCCTCGTCACCAACTTTGCTGCAATCGGAGTGGGCAAACAGGCAAGTACGTAGTAGCCACGTCAAAATTCCTGGGCCTTCGTCACAGGGCGAGCGGGAGGGGGAAGCGTCACGGGCAATATGGCGTATGTATCACTACGCGCCTTGGAACTTACTGACTAGGGAATTTTACAAGCCCCAAAAGTAGTAATGCGGTTGTGGATGAGTCAGTGCATTGCATGTTACGCAATAAGAATTATGTACACGTTGTTAATAACGACAACTCCATATCATAAGGTATAGAAAAAGATGAAGTATTAGAAATCCCTATTCACTATTCAATTCTCGTATTATTTTCCCTAGTTCTCGCATATATTGTCAACAGGCCAGAACTACTTGATTATGCAACAACCATGTGGGATGTTAGCGGCGCAATATATGAAAACGATTTCTTCAGTTTCCCAGCAGAGCAATGTTCCTGCCCATGCAAACAGTGCAGAACAATTATATTCCCACTGAAATCTGAAAAATCAAGTTGGTTTAGTGTTCTGGTTTGCAATGTTGGTGCGAAATACAGGTTCATTCAGTTCAGCAAAATGTTTCGTATTCGGCAGTTATTAACGAGAATTAGATTTACGGTAACTGGTATTTTAATTGTCATTCAAGTATAATTATTTTAGCTGAAATGAAATGCTGTGCATTACGAAAACAATAACACACGACCACTGTCGAAACAGGTTTTCCTTCTATCCCCTCAACCTCTCCGCGTTGACGTCACCGCTTGACGTCATCGCTTCTAATGACGCCCCTAGCTTCAACAATAAGAAGCTAGAACAAGGATAATTTGATGTATTCTGTCTGGTGTCTTAGAGTTCGGTTACTGTTAGAAAAATTGAATTGTATGACATGTTCTCGTAAGTTATAATCCGTCTCAATAACCAACAGCAGCTAAAAAGCTTTCGACGGTGACTTAATCATAAAGACCATTCTTGAAATGTACTAAGCAACAGGAGTTAAAGTCCAACCCCAGTGGACAATAATGAACAGCTACGAAAAGGCCAGACAGCTAGCCTTCCGCTGCCTTCCAGTACTAAAGCCAATAAAACGGATTACATCATAAACACAAATTATAAATAAAGTAATAAACTTAGAATTCTGAATTAGTCTCCATTCCGAGGAACCTGAAACTCTTACCACATTCGAATTTTTCAGTTGAATATAGGATGTATTTGCTTTGCCTGAAGAAAATTGTTTTTCGATTCCTGTCGATGGCGTGTAGTCCGTCAGTTAACAGACGTTTCGGAGTGATATATAGATTTCATCTTCGGGGTCGAAGAATAAGCTAAGCAATAAAGCAACACGAGACAGATAGCTGAACGGGCCACGATTCCACAACACACTAGGTCGGCCTACGCCCTAAGGTGGAGGCGACATGTTCCTCCGAAACGTCGGTTGACTTTCAACGGGCTACACGGCATTGTATCACAGAAGATAGGACTCTTCGTAATAATGTGCTTAAATCATTTTGATCTGGAATAGAATACATGCTTTAGCTATAGTCATTTGTGTTATAAATTGTCTAGCATGAATTGAAACCATAAATGTATCCGCGTGCCTTAGCACCATGACGTGGAGGCGTGTAAGGAAAGCGGAGGCAAAGTTCCATTCACACTAGTTAAGGACAAGCACTATTCAAGTTTAATTTCAAATTATCAGTTGCTTTATCAGCTACGTACTTGATACAGATGATCCGATGACAAGGTGAATATATGTAATTTTGACGGAGGAGAAGGTAGCAGACGAATTCTGCTTGCAGGACTGGCACAGAAATTTCCTGGAGGAATTTCGGTAGGCTCAGTCACGAAACCGGGGTCTGAACCGAGATTCGAACCCATGGTTTGACGAGTATGAAGCATGGCGATCTTCACTAGATCACGTGCGGCAGAGAGCCATGGGGGTTCCGTCTGGGGATGCAGCGATACCGCACGCGCAATAGAGGTCGAGTAGACACTGCGGCCTCTCGGATCGGTTCCCACTGCAGACATGTCTGGTGTTTTTGTGTTGTGGTGTCGTGTGTAAGTAAAGGTGTTGCGAAGATTCCATCCTCCGTCAAGTCGTTATATTTATGTGTAGTTATTTTTATAGGGTTGAACGATTGGATAGCTGCGAAGGAGTGAGTGGAAGCAGTTGTGGCCCCATTTTAAGGTACAATTTCCACATTTGACTAGAAGGGCTGAGAAAAAACACGAAACCCCTCAATTAGGATACTGCACCGGCCCCGCATAGTCAGAAGCGCTACCGCTAGGTCCTGCTTGTTCCTTGAGTCTTTCTACCAAGTATCTTATATCAAAATTATCCTGTGGAATACTGGTACATCTTCTCAGAATCACTGCACGAACTATGTCGCCTGGCTGATATTCTACATCCCGCAAATACTTATAATTTATGTGCAAATACTCAGACTTCTGTTTGACATCCGGCCAATATATACGATTCCCGTGCTAATATTGCGGCCACTCTTTGACATCCGGCCAATATTTACGATTCCCGTGCTAATATCGCGGCCACTCTTTCACATCCGGCCAATATTAACGATTCCTGCGGAAATACCCCGACCACTGTTTGACATCCGGCCAATATTTACGATTCCTGTGCTAATATTGCGGCCACTCTTTGACATCCGGCCAATATTTACGATTCCTGCGGAAATACTCCGACCACTCTTTGACATCCGGCCAGTATTTATTGTTTCTGTGCTGATACCCGACTGCCATTTCAGCCTTCGAGTTCGATCGACCGTGCAAAATAACGTCAAGTGTAATCTCCACACCGCACGTACATGACGCAATGGCGTGCACAGGCAGTAATAAGATTAACACGTATAAATCCTGACTCAGAGATCTTCTTGTCAATGCAAAATATACCGTGCACTACGCCGACAAAGACTGTGATGAAGACAAGTGTTTTCTTGGCCTTGGAAAAAAAAAGCGCTAATGTTGTGTGAGAACTGGAACCGTTGTGCCCGAACTGGTTCCGCGCAAGGACAATTATAAAATAATGACCATCTTTTTGAGTACTCCCCATTACCGCCAAGGAGCCAGTTTGTCTCAAATGCTATGACGCATTGGGATGGAAAGAAGCCACATAAAATTTTATCTTGTTCAAATACCAATGAAAATTCAATCTTGCAAAATATCTGGTTGGAAACTATGAACAGCCAGTGGCGTACTGCTGGCCACGAGCTGTAATTAAAGGGTTATACAGTATATGCATGTGCGCCTCGTCCTCTTCGGATTTCTGTAAAGGAATTCAAACCGGCGAAAGAAGGAAATGAACAAACAATAATACCAACATTTAAAGTTGTGTTTTTTAAATACACGCTTCCACCCTGAATAATCTAGGAGCCGGGATCGCGCAGTCGGTATGGCGGCTGGCTACGGGCTGGACGACCGAGGAGACGGAATTCGATGCCCTGTAAGGGCAAGATTTTTCTCTTCTTCCCGCCGTCCAGACCGGTTCCGAGGCCCGCACAACCTCAAATGCAATGGATACCGGGGGTCAATTTCTCCGGGGTTAAAGCGGCCGCGGCGTAAAGTTGACCACCCACCTCCAACAAATGCCAAGGTCAAGGATACATGGATCGATACATCCACTCCTCCATACGCCTTCATAACATAATTCTTAATTAGTTAAGCACAGGGGCGACTTTACTGTTTCTATCCTGGATACTCTTAGGGTGGTCAGTAAAAATACCAAAGAATGCCGTCTTCTGGGATGTGGCGCCGTGTAGATCTTGTTTCGGAGGAATGTATCGCCTCCGTCTTCAGGGTAGGAAATTCCGCGCACGAGGAACCAGCGTGAACAGGTGGCTGCTGGTTCCTCCGAAACGTCGGTTCACACAAGATCTACACGGCGCCATATCCCGGAAGACGGCATTCATCATAGTCACCGCCGTGAAAGCCTCAAATCTTACACGGTTAAAATACCGTTAAAATGCTTAAACGTAGGTTTGTGAGCAAATGTCAAGACTGCCCCCTTATCGAAAAACTGGCTGCCCCCCCTCAATGCAGAATATCGTGGCCGTAGTTATATTAGTATGTATATATTTGCGTCTATTTTGTTAATTCTGAATTTACTAGATATTTTTAACATATTAGACATAAAAAGAGATATATGTGGAGGTCATGTTTGTCTGTCTGTGACCTAGTATCGGTGCTCAAACTGCTGGACAGTTCTTTTTATTTAATTAGACTTTCGAAGCTTTCGCTGAAAGTCGTCAGGCACTTCCGTTTCCAGCCGTACTGACCCCTATACTGATCCCTGTAGGCCACGCATATCGGTTCAGAGATTTCGTCATATAGACTGACCTTGACTATGTTACCTTGGAAACGAAATTAGTTGTTCGATAGACCATTGTTGTTCGTTCATTATACAGGCTAGGATATGTACACGTTGGATGAGGCACTATGCTACAAGCAGGAAGGTTGCGGGTTCTAGTCCCGATGAGGTGGATTTTTTCCAATTGACCTAATCCCTCTAGCCGCACTATGCCCCTGGTTTCGATTCAACCACAAACAGAAATGAATACCAGGAATCTTCCTGCGGGGGGGGGGGGTTAAAGGGCGGCCAGAGCGCAGGGCTGACAAACTTACCGCCATCTGTGAGCCACAACTTTGTGGTTATGGGGGCCGAATGCGGCCCGCGGGCCGCATATTTAACACGGCTGATCTAGAGCTTCGACGTCTCACAACTCTATGGGCCTTCACGGCCTTTTGCAGGGATAGCTTTACCTTACCTTTTAGGATATGTACAGAATGTTCAAATATTTGGGCCGCCAGTGCGAGTAGCGCCATGTTCCTGAAGATACCGCCTGTGCAGTTTTATTTCGAGAGATGGTTTCAATAAATCGCTGAAATTTGATCAGAATCGCAAGAACCGTTTTCCAGAAAATTTTCATTTTGTGGTTTGGGGCTAATTTCAAAGCCCTCTATTTTTGGAGCTAGTA